TTGGGAGGAAGGATCCAAAGACTGCCCATGGTAGGGTATTCGCGATCACCCAAGTCAAGGGTGACCCTTTTCATGCCATCCACTGCAGCCCCCGTGACGGGTTGGCCCACAACCTTGGCTTGAAACCACGGCCTAGTGTCAAACGGCCGGGCAGGTCGGGTAACTCGCTGCAGATGACTTTCCTCCGGGTCCTCCGGGCTAGCCTTCTGCAGCGCGACAAGGCACTGATCGAAGAACTGCCCCAGAATCGACCAGGGCGGGTTCTCAGCCCCGGTGTCGGCCTCACGCATACCGATGAGCCGTTGAGCGTCGCCCTTGCTCAGCAACTCCTCAAGGTCCATGGCTGCCTGGTTGTATGTGTCCGGGTACTCCAGCGAGCCATTCGCAAAGATGGCATACCGACACGACAAGCCATTGTTCCTCGCCAGTGCATCCGCAAAGGCCTTGCCATTCTGGGGGATCTCTCCTCGGCCAGTCGTGCTGGCGACAATGACCAATACGTCATCAGACTCGATCATGGAGATGGGCAGGGCATTGAGTGTGCACGGTGGCACGACGGTGCCTAGCTTGGGATTGACCTCGCACGCGTGCTGCAGCTGCGCGCACAGCCTCTTACACAGCTTGATCGCGACGTTGCCTGAGCTGCAGAATCCGATGTAGATCCTGCGCCCGGGCCCTCGAGGAGACAACGGTGTCAGAGGCGTCAGGGGTCTGACAGGAGGGGGCACGGGTAGGAATGCGGTGCCGAAGGGAGATACTGGCGTTACTGGTCGCGTGAGGGAAATCGACGGCACCGGGATTGAGATGTTGAGCTTCGTGTCCGAGGCGGGATGCGGCCGTGTGCGAGGGGTTTGTCGCTCCCGGCGCCAGGCCTTGATGGGATCTTGGGCGTGGCGACAGATGAGCGGCTTTGGCTGGTAGTTTGGGGAGCCGCCGCGGTGCCAGAGAGGAATGATGGAGCCTTGCGGAGGAGCAAGCCAGTACGGGTCTGAGGGGAGGCGGAAGCCGTTGTTCATGAGGTGCTCGTCGTCGAATTGTGTGAACTGCTCTGCTGCGCCGAGAGAATCCGACATCCTAACGCCTGCCTGAGCGAAGGACCAGTACGTGGCGTAGTTGAGCTCGAGCTGTGCGCGGGACTGCATGATATTGTAAGCATGGTTCCCGAGAGTTGCAGAAGAGAACTTACCAAGACAGCTAGACGTTCATAGTCTGGCAAGTCGTCAACATCCCCGTCGACCAAGCCAATCGCCTTGGCGATCTGGGGAAGTGCGTTGTAGCGGAAGGAATCTGCGAGATTACGAACGCCAATCTCGGCATCCATGAACCTGTAGGCTGGTTAGGCACGTCATTGAGGCAAGGCAGAAGCAAGGCCAACTCACCACCCGATGAAGGGCGCTGCGGTATACTGAACGCCGCCAATGCTGAAGCCAAGACGGCTCAGTGCTGGCGCGGGAACCCAACGCAGGCCAATGGTCTCGAGCCCGGGATGCTTAGGATGGCGGATCTGCACCAGCGGGAAGGCGTCCTTGGGCAGCTCGGTAATGACAGGTTCTTGGCCTTCGGCCATGGTGACAAGAGGTAGGAGATCCCATTGTGAGCGGAATCGCGGCGGTGTCCAGCCCAATTCGATGATGGCGTTTGTCAACTCGACGTTGGCGGGGTCTCCAAGGATTTCGCCGTTGGATTGTTGGTACTTGACGGTGTTAGTGGTGTAATTGAGGGTCAGGGTGAAAAGAAGAACTCACCCCTGCAAATGACAGCAGTTGGGAATTCCAGATCATAGGACCACGGCTGTTGATATCCCTCGGAGGAAAGACGAAGACTGAATTGAGTTAGCCAAGTTTGTTGACAGAAATAAGAGATAGAATACCTGTGGGGTTTATTTCGCCAGAGTTGTAGGCAACTTTGAGACTCTCAATCAAAGTCTCGGCCATCTTCTTGCTCGTCCTGACGTGCCTCAAGTCACACAGCCTTCAAAGGTCAGTTAGGAGCCCAGATAATTCAGATGGGATTACACGTACCTCAGGTTTCTGTATTCAGACCTCATGATGCACTTTCGTGCGTGCTTCCATGCCGTCCGAAGCCCAAACTCGAGCTCTTCGAATGTCTGCGTCCAGAGACCACCAACAAGACCATCTGTCGTTGTGGGTGGTGCTTCCGGTCCACACTCAGAAGTAGATGTGAATCTGCCCTCCGTTGAGTTCTTCTGGATCTCCTGAAGAACTTCATGTGCGCGGTGGTGGAGTTGCTCCATCGTCAAGAGCCCATCCTTGTACATCTGCTGCAGGAAGTCGAGGGCATCTTCGCGGACTTGGGCATAAGACTGATTTCGGCCAACACGATCCTCGTCCATATGCGTCATGCGACCCGACTGGCAGAATTTTGGCGTGCATCCTGTCGAAGCCAACGAAGGGTATTGTTCGCGGATGTTGGAGAATTCTTGCTCGACCGAGATCGGCCGGGGCGGCACCGCGAGGGTGCTCTGCAGAAAAGGACATGCCATATCTGTCTTGTGTGATGTGATCGATCAGATGTGGGGGCGGGACGAGACCGACAGGAACGTCGACTGCTTATTTTCCCCGGATTTTCAAGGGTAGATCGAGAATGTAACTCAATGCATAAGAGAGTGAGTACAAAGAGTTGCTTGATTGCTGGGGCTAGTCAGAGTGGATCTCTCGGTGAAAATTGGCGATGGCGACATCAAGCGAATGACTAAGTTGTGTGAATGCCGATGAAGCTCTCTTGATGATCCGGACTGAACAAAACAAAAAGAGAGGATGAAGCTCAACTTTATACGGGAAACAAGATGCAACTAATAATACCAAGCTGAAATTTGGGACGGTCAAATGTTTGGTTGCCTGGCCTGCCATGACTTCCAGTTTCGGCCGACATCACCGTCTGATATTGGACACACCGGTTCTGTCCTAAGCCACTGGCCCCCTTTCCATCCCAAAACTATTGCACATCAATCAACCTCGTGCTCAGAGTAACACATCCAGCGATGGCTTTTAGATTGGGTAGCACGAACTGTCTCAGGCAACCGGTGCGAGTGCTGCTGAATGGCTGAAGAACTGCAAGGGGCATGTTGAAAAATGCTGTCAGCCCCATCCAGTAAGAGCCGTTCCCCAAAGCCACCGCCATGGGCGATGCCCCTCCATCACGAATCCTCAAGAGTATCAACATGGGCTTTAGAGTGGGGGATGACGCGGGGGAAGAGTCTTAGCGCTGCTGCGCGATGCATGTTTTTGGGGGTTCTTCGGGACCGATGCCAATGGCCGGCTGACCGACCTGTCGAGGCTGAGTTCCTCTCACTCCCGTCATGCACGGCCGGCGCCCGAACACTTCACAAAGGCGTTATTTCGCTGACAAAACCGACCCCAAGGCAACGCTACGAGTTGCATTTTGTCAGCCAAGAACCGCTCCTGCGAGGCTCTGACTTACAAAACGCCTCTGGCAACTAGAACATCGCGTAGAGGATGAAAGCGAGTAATTCGATTAGCTAACAACTGCAACCTTGGCTGACTTCAGCTGAGCTTCGGAGCGTCTGCACATTGTCGTAATTGGGCAGGTCGACGATATGTGTGTGTAATACCCGGGCCACGTTCAGCTGCATCAACTGAGCTAATTTGATCGACCAGTGGCGGTTGAACAAAAGGGAAGCGTCGAATGTGGGATGGAATGCGATGATCTGGTTGCCCCCCAAGTCTTGTCCGTGACTCTTGTAATACGGCCTAACTCATGGCCATCTCCCGGCGGAGACTTCTTGCGCACGCAACTCGCGTGGAATCCGGCGCCATCGTTGCATTCAACGAAGCCTCAATTGCCTTCGGAGTCTCCTCGTGATTTCATTGACAGTTGTGGTCGTCAAGCTAGTGATTCGAGTGCAACGGAAGCTTCGGATAGAAAGTTCGACGACCATGTGTTCTGGAAAGGAGGTCTGCGGCAACTCTCCGGGGACCACGAGGACGTAACAGTGTACAGAGACACGGAGGCGCTGATCTAGAAGCTTTCGTGGAAAACCAGCTTGGCAAATTTCCATCTTTCGCAACCCGAGCCGACAGGTGTGGGCGGCCGGGTTTGATAGACTATCGTCCAGCCTGAATCATGTGGCACTCGCCTCAACCTGCATCAAAACCTCAAAGAAAACCACATGGTAAACAATTAAACTGGGGCACGTTTCGTGTTACCATGAACGTGTTTTGAGAAATAACATTCGACGGACTCGTTCGGTCGCGAAGATCTCCCCTCTGATAGAGGGTGGCTTGAAACCTGGATGAAGTGTCAAGGCGGTGGCACTGCATAGTGTTGAACCCGCGCGGATCAGATCTGCAATACCGAATCTGACAGCGGTCCCGGTCCGCTGTAGCGCAAGCCGCAGCCGGCGATGCAAGTGCTTTCCGTATCAACTGGTGCTATCATGCTTCCCTCGGCCGATCGCTTGATGCATCGAAGAGGAGCTTCCGAAGCTTTCGCGACGTCGCCAAGGGTATTGACAAACTCTTCAGACTCTAAATGACACTTGACATGTAGTAGGTCAGCGAGAATGATGTCGATACGAGCATGAGCTTCGAGCAGGGGCTCCATAACACGCCCTGATTGCAAATGAAGAGTTCCGATCGTCCGGGGTTAGATGGAGGCTGGTCAGTGAGTACATCTGTGCTGGTAGTGGACGTGTGCCTCATTGAGTCGTCTTCCGATACCGTTTGTTCTCCGAACGTGGTTTGCCTGGACGTGTCAGGCTGCCGAGAGCGTTTGAAACTCGGGGGAAATCAGACGTTGATGGAATTACGTTGATCGATCAATCGCTTGATGAAGTGAGATGAAAACAGAACGTTGAACCGTTGGGAAAGATTGCTGATCGCCAGGTACCGCACCCGTGGTTCCAGGGTCAGAACTGGCCCGTGCACCCGACCAACATCAGATGCCGCATGAAGCGAATGAAATCTATTGCAGTTGGAATATTTTTGGTCTATATGATATCAATCTGTTGAACAAACTCCTTACTCCATCTCGATAGTGCCTAGCCACTGTTAGTTCAGCTGGAACGAGAAGTCCAACAAGAGCACTTACCAGGAGGCTTGGAGGTAGTATCGTAGGTCACTCTGGAAACGCCGTCGACCTCGTTGACGATGCGCCTGGAAATCTCACGAAGCAACTTCCAGTCGAACTCGTAGGGCTCCGCGCTCATGAAGTCATCGGAGCAGACGGCTGCGGCCTGTTAGCCTCGAAGATCAAGTTGAGGAGTTTGGTACGGTGCTCGCTGAGCCAACTTCACCGATGGGATGAAGGGATGAGGGGCAATAAATACCTCGCAGAATGACGATGTAGCCATAGACTCTGGCGTCGCCTGATGGTAGTTTGATGTCAGTGTCTATGATATTCGTCTTGATGACCAATATTCCTACCTTGCACTCCCACACTCTTGGTCGAATCCACGGCGGCATAAGCCTGAGACATAGAGTCGTAAACGCCAGCTTCCTTGATCATGGAAATGAAGATATGATCGGCCCTGTTGTTTGTGAGCCACGATCCTAATCAAAGCGAGAAAGGAGATGACGAACTTCCTGCAGATCTCTACGCGCTCGGGAGTGACTTCACCCAAGACTCGGATGGCCAGACCCGGTCCAGGGAAAGGATGTCTCATTACCAAGTCGCGGTGGATGCCTAGACTCTGACCAATGGCGCGAACCTCATCTTTGAACTATACAGAAATCAGTATGATGTTTGCAGATGGCCTTGCTTCCGCGAAGGCTTGTCTGGATTAAGAGTGTTACCATCTCCCTGAGCGGCTCCAGAAGCTGAAGTCCTTGCTATACAACAGTTAGCACCAAAAATCAAGTGACTTGGTTCACAATGTTCGTTAAACGTACACCCTCAGTCATGCGCTTTGGCAGACCGCCGACATTGCTGGTAAAGTCATTAATTACTGCTCAGTATTGGTCATCTTGATCGGGAACATACTGATGGCTCTTGATGGTATGAGATGGGCCTCTGAAGCTAAGACTTTCGATAACGTCGGTATACAGGGTGCTGTACAAAGTTAGCCGACGGCATCTCAACGTATATGATGCTTACCCCTGAAGGAACCACTTGACAGGCCCGGCGTTCTCGGTGTGCTTGGCTTCCTCCTCAATTCTGATGGCCTCCTTCTCGAACAGGTCGATGAAGGTCTCTGTTGAGGTGGTTAGTTCCAAATGTCTATCGGTGGTTTCCATGTTAAATACTCGCCTCCAATGATCTTCTCAAGTTAGTCAATGGTCTCAACATGATAACGAAGACATTGAAACATACCTTTCGCTTCCTCTCAGGCTCAGTAACACCCTTGAGTCGGCCCAAGAACAGATCAGCTCCATCCACAACGGTCAGGTTGATCCCGAGGTGCTCCTTCAGCGTCGCCTTAACCTCGGTGCACTCGTTCAGTCTCATGACACCATTGTCGACGAGAATGGCATGGAAACGGTCGCCGATGGCCTCCGTCATCAAACGGGCGGCGACTGTGGAGTCGACACCGCCGGACACGGCACCGATGACCTGGGCGCGGTCCCCAACCAGCTTGCGAATTCGGGCAATCTCAGTTTCCTTGAACTCCGCCATCTTCCAATCAGGACGAGCACCACAGATCTTTACAGCGTAGTTCTTGAGAATATCAGTTCCACGGACGGAGTGGCTGATTTCGGGATGGAACTGAAGTCCTAGTAACCTGTTAGCAAAGGGGAGCATACAAATGGTTGAGCCTGCAGGGTGTCGCGTGACGCATCAATTGACGTGCCCGTGGCGGCAAAGGGGGTAATCACCAAAGATCTTCTTAGTCTGGTGGGCAATGGCGGCGTAGGGGCTGTTGCGCGTAGTTCCGATTGTGACGAATCCTTCGGGGAGCTTGACAAGCTTGTCAAAGTGAGAGTTGATCACTACAATGTATAAGTATATGAGCATCGTATCATATCATAATGCTCACCCTCAGTGGTGTCTCCACCCAGGTCGGAGAGAAGAAGATCGATATGGTTGGCGCCGCCGACCTTCTGGATGTTGAGAGCTTTTCAAGGTTAGGGTCTCAGTTTCAGAATCACAGAATAGTCGAGGAATTTACTGACTCCCAAGACCGTACTCTCTGACATCTCCGCGCTTGACATTCTCAGGGTTGCTGATCCAGGCAATCTCCTGGCATCCGTAGCAGATTCCGAGGATGGGTACTCCGAGGTCGAAGACAGCGGGATCAACGTGCGGGCTGCCTTCATCGTAAACCTGATGTCGTTAGTTTGTTAACAGTGATCAAGAAGCCCGTGAACTTTACGGAAGCCGGTCCGCCTGAAAAAATGATTCCGACAGGCTTAAAAGGCAAGTCGGCAAGCTTCGTGTTGCAGGGGAGCATCTCCGCGTAGACGTTGAAGCTTCGGAGACGACGAAGGACTGCAGAGGCTCAGTGAGAAATTTGAATATCTCGGGGCGAGTGAAGCCGTACTCAAATGACTGGTCTGACTACCAAAGTCGAGAACCAGGATCGTGTCGAAAAGACTGTGCGGCGGCGCCGCCTGTTCGAGAATGTCACCCATCGTGGAGTAGGACTGATGTCGCAGAAGAGACTTGGAGGGATGTCTAGGCCGGAGACGATCGGAGCTTTGTGGTTGAAGCAACGTCCACACAACAACGAGGGTAAAGTTGTCGTCGCGAGAGCCTGTGAATCACCCCGCGATGCCCCTCCGATTTTTTTTTCTTATCGCGATAAGCAATCGCAGCGCGAGTCGCGGGGTTCTCAGCCACAGCACAGACCCCCTGTCGGGTCCAGGGCGCCCCTCCTCAGCTGAACATGGTGAATCAAAAGGTACGAAGTCATTTCCTCACTCACACACCGACACATTATGTCGAATCCCATGGCCGCTTCAACTAGCACCGGTCTCGACAATGGGACGGAACATGGCCAATCTGGGTCTTTTCCAGACTTGTATTGACACTGAATGCGGCTTGTTTTGTTTGCGGCGTGAACAAGGCCACTTGTTCAAGTCTGACCGCAGCGAGACCGGTTTCCTGTGAGAGTTGACTGATGGCGGAAATGATTGGATTTTGAATACCAAAGTACGAAGAACCTCGTTATCAATGCGCCAATGGAGTGGCATGAGGTTGAAGAAAGTCAGTGAAACTGAATCGATGAGTGAGTGAGCCAGTCAGTGAATTTGTGGAGTAAGGTAGGTACACCGAGACCCTGTAGTGACGTTTCCCAAATGCTGGGTGCCTATGAGGTCATCATTCCAAAATCGAGGGACTAGAAAGCACAAGAACCGCAAAACAGAAGCCTCAGCGTCCAATCCCACACGAGAAACCCAGAATTGCCTTGAGACTCTTAGCCGGCGATGAGCAATCAAGTTTGCTTAACAACAACATGTACGAGATTTACGCTGTAAGTGCATGGAAGTCCTTGTCCGTCGAGAATGCCCATATGGAGCGAGTAAATGCCTTCAAGAGACTCACAGAAATATGTTAGGCGGGCGCTGCTGCTGCCTTCACTGTCGACTGCTTAGTCTACCCTCTTGACACCCTCAAGACCCGGTACCAAAGCCAAGACTTCGTCAAAACCTATGCATCTTCACCAGGAAGCAAGGCGCCGCTGTTCCGCGGCCTCTACCAAGGCATTGGAAGTGTAGTCCTCGCAACCCTGCCAGCCGGTGAGTCCTTACAGGCGATATTTGACCCCTTAATTAGCATGTTCTTAATGAGAGCAACCCGGCTAATCACGTGTGAAAACCGAAGCTGGCATCTTCTTCGCGACATACGAGAGCATGAAAAAGACCATTTCCAGCACGGTTTCAGTCCCGCAACCCATTGTCCACGCCTCGGCCTCGGCCGTCGCGGAGATGGGATCATGCTTGGTCCTTGCACCGGCCGAAGTCATCAAGCAGAACGCCCAAATGCTGCGACGACAGGACCCTGGAAATCCCGCCAATGGGAGCGGGAGCAGCGGCAGCCGCAAGTCAACGTCCCTCGAGGCATTGCGACAAGTCACACGTTCCGGGGCCCAGAGACGGCTGTTTTCGGGTTACACGGCGTTGGTCGCGCGCAATCTTCCCTTCACGGCGATACAGTTCCCTATCTTTGAGCATGTGAGAACGTCCGTCTGGGAGTCGAGGGCCAAAGGGCGGGCGGCCAGCGAGGAGCAGGGCCTTATCGAGACGGCAGTGGTGACTGGCACGAGTGCAGGTGCGGCTGGGGCATTCGCGGCATGGATTACGACGCCGAGCGATGTTGTCAAGACGCGGATGATGTTGAGCGCCGGCGAAGGCGGCAATGGTTCGTCGCAGCACTCAGGCAAATCAGGGCCGGCAGAGAAAACCCGTGGGAGCTTGGAGGTGACGCGCGACGTCTACCGGCAGCACGGCGTGCGCGGGCTCTTCCGTGGAGGGCTGTTGCGAGCCGGCTGGACGGCGCTAGGCAGCGGGCTTTATCTGGGAACGTACGAGATGTCAAAGGTCTGGCTCACTCGCGGGAAAGACGAATCGGAAGTCGTTGGGGGACTGTGACGGCCGATAGGGGTTGCATTGGACAGCAAGGTGCATCGTGGAAGAGGCGGTGACGGCTGAGTGTCGTTGGTGCGCTGTAGGTTATGTACAGATATAGAACAAGGGCAGATGGGATGGAGGGTGGCTTCCGAAGGTGAGTCGAGAGTTCCTGTCTGCATTATCAGTCGGAGGCAAGAGGAAAAGAGAGAGAGGAAGCAGAGGTCCGAAACACGGTCTGGCATCATGCTGCGGCAGGGTTTTGGGGTGGATCATGACCGGTGTGTGTCCCGTCCACGTCCCCAGCAGGACCCGACATCAGTGTCGAGACCGAGCCCGCCCTGCGCTGCGCTGCGGAGACGCAAGATCTGTGGCAACGGTCAGGGGTACGGGATGGAGGACCCGGGGTAGCCCAGGCCAGTCATCCGGGTGAAATACCCTGACCAATCGAGACTCTCCAGCCTGGCGGGAGAGGGACCGCAAACCTGCAGCTTGTAGATGCGAGGCGGCATCAACAAATGGAGACGGCACATCCACCTTGAGTGCTCTGCATTATCTCTGTCCTGTGCTGTAAATCCACGTTTCTTGCAATCTTTGTGCCCGTAGTCTTGCCATATCCGCGACCGTTGTGTTAGTGGCACGGCTAGACGTTTCGGTCGGTCATGGCTCGGCGTAGCCTCTGAAGAATGCGGGGGACCAGTTCCGACCATCGAATTCTCGCCCTAAATTGATGCGAAGTTTGTCTGGTTCGGGCGGCAACTCGCGGCCTTTCGTCCGGTATCTTTGTTGGTCCCCTTGGCCAACTCAACTCAATGTTTGCTTGCCGTGGTCTCGGCGTTCCCTGCAGCTTGCTTTGGCTATTTTGCCAGCGCTCAACAGTCCTGGAAGCCTGCCCGTAACGTAGTTCTCCAATAACGAAAAAAGGCTGAAAGTCAAATCCATGGCGGACTGCAGACTGCATAGCGGCACGTCCAGGTCACGAAATTGCGTCTCTGGCATCAGAACCACGCGCGATTGCGCAATCTTGGACTGGCGCTCTTTCGCCATCGCTGTGCACTACGATCGTCCATGCAAGCGGCCGGGAAATTTTTTTGAGATGATCCATAGCCCGGCGCGACGCAAAATGCTATGCGAAGGGGACTCCCAAACATGGTTGAGGGATGAACACCGCTTCTTTGATGGTTGGTCAGCTGTTCTTGACTCGTTCCGAGTCGCTCGATGGTGTAGTCCTCGACCCACCAGGCTTGGGTTAGGCAATCCCGTGTCCAAAAGACGTTTCCTCGATGTCCCTGCCGAGACGTACCTGACTCCCGACTCCGGAATCCTCTTATATGTTGAGGCGCTCTCTGATTTCCACACCTCTGAGGTGCTCAACCCTCTTGCTGTTTCGTTATTGCTCGTTCTCATCTTGTTTGAAAGATACCCTAGAGCCATTGAATTTCTGTTCAAACAGCATCACTTCTGACCTGACGGATTTCCAGAGTCATCACCAACATATCATTTGGTATTAGCCGACCTTGGGCATTCACACTTTCAGCTCATCCTCAGATCACAATCACAATGGCCGCTGTTACGTCCCTCCGGGTAACAGACCCTCTTGCACAACAAAGCAAGGACAATGCGGTGGTCAACGTCACCGAAGTCGACGTCAACGACAACGACAGATTCATTGTCCACTCGCCATACACAGACCCGGAGCACTTGCTGGACCTCGAGACCCTCGACAATGAGAACGCCCTTCTCGCCAGAGCCTTGTCTCACTTGGAATGCCTCCGCGCAGACTACGCCACGGCCGACTATGTCGAATCTTTCAACTGGGGAGACGTCATGCGCGAACTCAAAACCCTCGTCCAGACAACAGGTAAATCGTACAAGGAGACTTCCTTCTACATTGTGGCGTTCCGCTCGCAAATTCCGCCCACGACAGTCTATGGCGACCTCGGAGTCCTGGACAAAGCAGCCCACGCTGAGGCCAACCAAGTTGGGGGTTTCTTGAAGTATGAAAAAAGTTACAATCAAGAAGAATTCAACTGACCAAATGCAGATACTGGTTCGGGAGCCCTGATGCTGAAGGACGAAACCTCGCAACTTGCGTTTGGAGGTCCAGACCAGACGCCGTCAAGGCTGGCCATGGTCCTGCTCACCGCAAAGCGAGTCGTGCGACTGCATCCATGTACTCATTCTGGCGGATTGATCGGCACCGATTGGTGATCCATGAAGGCGCAGAAAGTTGGGAGATCATCGACTGGACAGACTAAAAGGTTTCGAAGGATTGGGGACCGAGAGGAAAAGTAATTGATGACGGCGTTTGGATACCTTGGGTAGAATGTCGCAATTGCGCCGGAAAATGAGCAAAGTTAACGACCATTGGTGGCGTACGGTAGACGGGATTGGAGGGCATTTCGGTAGCATCGTTTGTAACGGCCACACACGTGTGTGAATTCATAGACAGCGTAAGCGTAATACATGGACGCCTTGGACAAATCTTCTTTGCTACCGCGACTTTCTCTTCTGTGACAGTCGTCGGGCCATCGTTTCGACCAGAGGAGAGCTTGCTGTCACAGAATGCCGTCCCAAGGTTCGATGAAGCGTGTGCCAAGTGGTGGTGAGCAGGGTGTAAGTGTCGAGCTGTTCGAAATGCCCATCTTCCTTCGACGTTTTGGGGTCCGGGTCGGCGCGGAACACCCCCCGAGTGATATCGCAAAATGATGCTCAGGAGCAGACGCACAGAATGGAGGACATTTTGAAGAGAAAAACGAAGGGTAGCGGTCAGGGTGCGGCGAGATGAGACGACGTTGAATTTAAACTCGAATTGAGTGCTTTCGGCGTGGGGGGAAGTGTGGGATGCCCTCCCCTTCAGGACATGGCGTGTGGAATCTGTTACGGATCACCGTGGGAGGAAAAGGACGGCGGGCGTCGGCGCCAGAGGTGGCGGCTACTGACGGTCCCTGACAGCTGGATGGCTGGTCTTGAGGGGTGGTCTTAAGGTACCTAGGTAGCCTGAAGGAGGGGTGGGCTCCCTCGCGTGTTACATAAGCCGCCAGTCGGCGAGGCCACACAGCAGCGAAGCAGCACCCGCTGAATCCAGCGTCAGTCACTGAAGAAAGACACCCGCAAATTCTGCCCCTGGCCACCGCCCTCCACGCCCACAATCCCTCCCACAATTCGTTGTAGCGAAAAGTTCGATATTTCGCATCACGACGAGCCCCTCGATCCCGACGCCAAGATCGCGACACCCACGATTCCGCAGCCGCAGAACCGACTCCGTCAGAATTTTTGACTCCTGCACGAATCCCCGATCGTATCGCAAAAATGGCGGATGCTATCAAGGAGGTGCCGCTCAAGGCGGTCCAAGTTGAGGCCCTGGTGAGTCCTGCCAAATCCTGCCCCACCTCGCCTTTGCAGTCGAGATGGTGGCACACGTCCGAAAGCCACATGGGCACATGTCGCTGACATTATACGCCCGTAGGTGGTGATGAAAATCGTCAAGCATGGCTCTACGACCTTCCCCACGACCGCTACCGGTGCCATCGTCGGCATGGACAGCGAGGGCGTCCTCGAGATCACCAACTCCTTCCAGTTCCCCACGGTCGACGTCGCCAACACCGACAGCCACCAGAACGACGCCTCTGCCCTCGCTGCCGCCGCTCCCCGCCAGAAGGCCAACATCGCCTACCAGAACGAGATGATTAAGCACCTGAAGGAGGTCAACGTCGACGCTAACAACGTCGGCTGGTACACTTCTGCTGCCATGGGCAACTTCGTCAACCTCAGCTTCATCGAGAACCAGTTCCACTACCAGAAGGAGAACGAGCGCACCATCGCTCTCGTCCACGACGTCAGCCGCAGCTCCCAGGGCTCCCTCAGCCTGCGCGCCTTCAAGCTCACCCCGACCTTCATGGAGGCTTACAAGGAGAACAAGTTCACCACTGAAAGGTATGATATGGAGCACCGCGCGAATTTCATGGCAAGGTCACGTTAGCTAACACACGTCACCGTCACAGCCTGCAGAAGTCCAAGCTGTCCTTCAAGGACATTCTCGCCGAGCTCCCCGTCGAAGTCCACAACACCCACCTCCTGACGTCCTTCCTGCACCAGCTCCCCCAGATCCCCCAGCAGGACAAGATCGAGCCCCCCACTTCTCTGTCGGATCTGCGCGAAGACCCCATCAAGCAGCCGCTGCACCCTTCGGTCGACAACCTCGACCTGTCGATAGACCCCTTCCTCGAGAAGACATGCGACCTCCTGCTGGAGAGCATCGAGTCGCACTACACCGACCTCAACAACTTCCAGTTCTATCAGCGCCAGCTCGGCCGTGAGCAGGCCAAGATCACGCAGTGGCAGACCAAGCGCAAGGCGGAGAACGCGGCGCGCGCGGCGGCCAAGCAGACACCGCTGCCCGAGGACGAGTGGCAGAGGCTGTTCAAGCTCCCCCAGGAGCCCAGCCGGTTGGAGGGCATGCTCAACGCGAAGCAGGTGGAGCAGTACAGCAAGCAGGTGGACGGATTCACTGCCAACATCAGCGCCAAGATGTTCGCCGTCAGGGAGAACCTGCTGCCCAAGCACGCTTAGGAGGCGTGAGGGAAAGGGGCAGTGGCAGGCTCGGTTGTCGGTGTCATCGTATGCGAATCGGATACGACGGATTCGAGAAGAACAAAGGGTCGAGGGGAAGGGCAAAGACAAAAAAGAAGAGTTGATTAACTTACCTTAGAGAACGGGTGTTCTGGGAATGATGAATGATCTGGGAAGCGGATCAAGCATTCGAAACGGCGTTACGGTAATTAGTCCCAGGCAGAGTGTATCGAGTCGATATTCGATGTTTTTCTTGCATACCAAAGCGACGGTTCAGTCTCTCTCCCTTGGGTTCTCTGCTGGCTGAAGCTGGCCAGGGAGTTGAGTTGTTGGCAGCTGGAGTAAAGGGCTGGTGGTAGACGAGGCCATGGCACGGAGAGGGCATGTTGATCCTGGGGGAAGTATGACGGTGCAATCCAGAGCACGCACGTTATATCTCGGCAAGTCATGAGTTCAAAATAGCTTCGACGTCGAGGCTGGCGCCTGTATTGCGTCCAGATAGTATCTCAGACAGAAGTTGAACTTGACGATTTACTAGTTAAACTTTGGCCGGACCGGTCGGCTTCAGAGGCCTCAGTCCGCCTTACCGTCCCATTTTATTGTGCTTCAAAGTATTTCACGTCAGGTAGGATGTGTTACTTGGTGCCACGGTAGCATCTTTACGGCGTGGGTGAATACTCCATAGCACATGCTCACGGAAGGTTTGCATGATTCGCATGGCCGTGTTGAGTTCCTGGGAAAGTCAGTCGAGAGGAGGGAGGTGGTGCGTGTTGCCCGAGGCATGGTGGGGCAATTTCGAGGGGTTTCACACTGGAAAGAGACTAGCGCGTGAAAACGGTAAAACAAGGGGAAACAAAAGGGACTTTGAATGATTGGGTTGGCCTCTCAGATCGAGGCTCGGCGGCACGCAGGTCTGGACTGATGCTCCCAAGTGCACAAAGCTCTAGGTGGGCGGGCTGTGGGCTCCAGGCTTAACCACAGAATGGCTGTCCAGATGGACCCCATCAGGGTTCACGAGGTACCTGTGGCCTATCGAATTTGCATGTGGCCGGGCAACAATACGAGTAAGGCTGCAAGTACCTGAGCTTGGCCGGCCTCTTCAAATTTTTTACCCGACCTAACCTTACCTCACCTTACCTCCGAGCAGGTCGGCCCCGGCTTGGGGATGCTGGAGCTGCTCCGATCAGCACTGATAAAAAACGAAGCTCCAATTCAGCACGGTTGCACGTTAACATAGCTACTTGAGTGACTTGAGTGAGCTCTGCGGGTGGCGGAGGAAGCTCATTCCAAGCTTGCTCCCTTGGGTCTAGCCATCCCTTTCCATGTGGTGGCTTGTTGAACGGCTTAGGTGCCAGACAGACAGAGAGGGGTTTGAGAAGGGGAAGAGAAAAAAAAGGGCAAAAGAAAATCTAAAACACCAATTGAGTTGACGTTGGATGAGAGGCACCAGGCCCGCGCGGGGTTGAATTGGAGCCTCCTCGTCCAATCCTGACGAGTTTTGCACAGGCACACAGGGCAGTTGGGAATGAGCCGAGCCAGCCCTTCGTTCGTCTTCCCTTCCAGGAGGCGTTGGTGCCATTGTAAGTGAGCGTTGAAGTCAGACATGGCCATTGTCTGTTTTCTTGCTGGGAATGCAAAAGGTCCCTTGGGTTCCTCCTCGAGTGAAAGGTCCGAAGGTAGGTAGCACGTAGGTAGAGACGTGGAGAGACAGAAGCAGTGGCGGGGCATGAAGGGGAAGGGGCCCCTGGACGTCTACTGCGTACATTGCAAAAAGTGGTGTCGGATCATCGAGTCGATAGCTTAGGTTGGATGTACCTCATGCTATCGCGGCTGCCGTGTCAGCTCCCAAAGTCTCTTCCATCCTCTCGGGCTCTCCCTCTTTCCCATCTCAATGGAACTGGAGGTCTCAACCAGGAAGAGGAAGGCAGGCGCTGGAACCCCACCTCGCCTGCCACACTTGCTGCACCTGGTTGAACTTTTTTGCCCCGCCTCTGGCTGAGGTCCAGTGTCACAGTCCCCCCTCCAACACGGTGCCCCTCCCACCTCACCCCTCCCCCTCCTCTCCTCCAGTCACCAGTCACCACTCACCACTCGCAAAGGTAAGGAAGGTATTGTCCAGGCACCGCGCAACGCCGACCAGCGAGCGACAAGTACTGGACAATCCCAAGCACACCCAGCAGAAATTTCCGTCCGGACAACGCAGAACTCACACTCACCGCCCTGCTCCCTTTCCGGACTCGACCCCTCCAAAGTCTTTTTCTTCTCCTTCTCCCCCCGTCCAACAGAGCTTTGATTTCCTCTCCTCTTCTTTCCTTCCATCTCCTATCCTCCCCATCCACCTCCTTCCCCTTCCCACCAGTACCACAGACCAACACCACAATGGCTGCTCCCGCCCACAAGTTCAAGGTCGCCGACCTGTCCCTGGCTGCCTTCGGCCGCAAGGAGATCGAGCTCGCCGAGAACGAGATGCCCGGTCTCATGCAGACCCGTGCCAAGTACGCCGCCGACCAGCCCCTCGCTGGTGCCCGTATCGCCGGTTGCTTGCACATGACCATCCAGACTGCTGTCCTCATCGAGACCCTTACTGCTCTCGGTGCCGAGGTCACCTGGACTTCCTGCAACATCTTCTCCACCCAGGACCACGCCGCTGCCGCCATTGCCGCTGCTGGTGTCCCCGTCTTCGCCTGGAAGGGCGAGTCCGAGGAGGAGTACAACTGGTGCTTGGAGCAGCAGCTCCTTGCCTTCAAGGATGGCAAGAAGCTCAACCTGATCCTCGACGACGGTGGTGACCTGACCCACCTCGTCCACGACAAGTACCCCGAGATGCTCAAGGACTGCTACGGTGTCTCTGAGGAGACCACCACCGGTGTCCACCACCTCTACCGCATGCTCAAGGAGAAGAAGCTCCTTGTCCCCTCCATCAACGTCAACGACTCCGTCACCAAGTCCAAGTTCGACAACCTGTACGGCTGCCGTGAGTCCCTCATCGACGGTATCAAGCGTGCTACCGACGTCATGGTTGCCGGCAAGGTCGCCGTTGTCGCTGGTTTCGGTGATGTCGGCAAGGGCTGTGCCCAGGCTCTGCACACCATGGGTGCTCGCGTCCTCGTCACCGAGATCGACCCCATCAACGCCCTCCAGGCTGCCATGGCCGGCTACCAGGTCACCACCATGGAGAAGGCTGCTTCCCAGGGTCAGATCTTCGTCACCACCACTGGTTGCCGTGACATCCTGACTGCCCAGCACTTCGAGGCCATGCCCAACGACGCCATTGTCTGCAGTAAGTGCTCCTGAAGAACCCACGCATTAATCATCCATCTAACCACGTGTTCCACAGACATTGGCCACTTCGACATCGAGATCGACGTCGCCTGGCTCAAGGCCAACGCCCAGAGCGTCCAGAACATCAAGCCCCAGGTTGACCGCTTCCTCATGAAGAACGGCCGCCACATCATCCTCCTCGCCGAGGGCCGTCTGGTCAACCTTGGCTGTGCCACCGGCCACTCTTCCTTCGTCATGTCCTGCTCTTTCACCAACCAGGTCCTTGCCCAGATCATGCTGTACAAGTCCGGTGACGCTGCCTGGGGCCAGAAGTACGTCGAGTTCGCCAAGTCCGGCAAGCTCGAGGTCGGCGTCTACGTCCTCCCCAAGGTTCTCGACGAGGAGGTCGCCAGACTCCACCTTGCCCACTGCAACGTCGAGCTCTCCGAGCTCTCCAAGGTCCAGGCTGAGTACCTCGGCCTCACCGTCGAGGGTCCCTACAAGAGCGACATCTACCGCTACTAAGCGTTTTCTCTATAATATCCAATCTTTGAAAGTTGGATTTCAACACTCCGATTAATGACTTCAACGAGCTTACACCATAACATTTGGCAATGTGTGTTCTCAACAGCATGACTTGCATGACACATCTGGGAAGGGAATCTCGGTTGGGGGCGGTTACGGGCTGGAACTCAAAAAAGTTGGGGGGCCTGGCTGCGAGATTTTTCAACAAAAAATAGGCGTTGGCTTGTGAATAGTGATTCCCCAGACCATGGCATTTGTATTTGTTTTCTTCGGCCCGGATTCGGGAAAATGGGACTCAACCCCCGGATGGGATATAGGGGTTAAGGGTAGATCAACTCTAGGACTAGGGCCCGTCAACCGTGGCCCGGCATAGACAATATATGTTGTCCTCTGAGAATTGCTTGAAAAACTTGTTGTGTGCCATGTGACACTGTTGAATGTGATGTCTCGATGAGTGTAGAATCTGCGAGTCTTGAGGTCGGGACAACAACTAGGGACCAAGAGAGTTGTCTGGTGGTAAGTTTTGTACGAATTTTCGGAGTCTATGTTATCATGCATGATGCACCTCGTCATTACGAATTCATAGGCAAGAAGCCGGTCTCCCACTCGTCCCTACGCACCAGCAACAGTTTTCTGCTCCGGCACCACGCTGTTCAGCTTGCCCTCGTCCACGGCGCGGCGCACGTTACCAATGGCCCACTCCTCCATCTTGACCGTGGTCTCGAGCGTGTACGTCCCCATGTGCGGCACGATGAGCACGTTCGGGTTCGCGAGCAGGCCGGGGTGGACCTCGGGCTCGTTCTCGAAGACGTCGAGGCCGGCGCTGCCGACCTGGCCGCTGTTGAGGGCGTCGACGAGGGCGGCCTCGTCGATGACGGCGCCGCGGGCGGTGTTGACGATGACGACGCCCTTTTTCATCTTGGCGAACTCGGCGGTCGATATGATGTGGCGGGTGTGCGGCTGCGTGCGTCTTGTTAGTAGCATCTTCCAACGTGAGGAAGGAGGGGAAGTGGCCTTACGTTGAGGGGGAGGTTCAGCGAAATGACATCGCTCGAGGCCAGCAGCGTGTCAAAGTCGACGTACTCGGCGCCCGCGTCCTTCTCCAGGTCGTCCGACAGCCTCGTGCGGTTGTAGTACCTCACGCTCATGCCGAACGCGCGCGCCTTCTTGGCCATGTTGCGCCCGATGCCGCCCATGCCGAGGATGCCCAGCACCTTGCCCTGCGGGTCGCGGCCGAGGGCCGGGGGTGGGCTGCCGCGCCACTTGCCCGCGCGCAGCGTCAGGATGGAAGCGTTGAGGTTGCGGAGGGCGCCGAGCATGAGCCAGACGTTGATGTCGGCCGTGGCGTCGTCGACGGCGGTGGGCGTGTTGGAGACGAGGAGCGGTGTGGGGGTGCGCTGTGTGCAGGCGGCGACGTCGATCTGGTCATAGCCGGCGCCGTTGTGGCAGATGAAGCGCACGGAGGAGGGTAGGGCGGCGACGAGCTCGGCGTCGATCTTGCCGGTGATTTTGACGCTGGAGAAGGTGCGGTAGATTGCGACGACGCCGTCGAGTGCGCCGGAGGCGCATTCTTGGAGGAACTCGGGGCGGGAGGTGGATTTCGGGGTGATGATGTCGGCGACGGTGCCGAGGGAGGACCAGGACTCGTGGGCGCTAGAGGGTGTCAGTTAAGGTTGGCTGTGGATTATGAGGGGAGAGAGGCTTACTGCTCGATCTTGCCGAGCTGGAGGACCTTTGGCTTCGTCATTGTTGCGAGGCGTGCGATGGGTATACGGATTGGATGGTGGATGACTGAAGCTCCGGCACGAGGATGGGTGTGAATGGTGTTTGAGAGAGCTTGACGCGATGAGTCTACACACGCAGTGGGCTTGACAAAGTGGAAGGATTTGACCTTGGGAATGGTCAGTGTTTGCACCTTTCTGATGTGTATCGGTGAAAACATACCAAAGCTAGAGGATTGAAGGGTAGGGGCCAAAAGTTGAGATATAGACGTTGCAGCGATAATGTTGATGTTCTCACTACATACGCAGCTGCCCCTCCAAGGACCGGCGCCGGCGCGGGGTGACCTGCTCAAGGCGGAGGGGGAGGGGGATTGTCGGTGGGGTGAACTCAATTGGGGGACTCGGGTTGGTTGGTGTGATAGTACTTAGGTAGGTAGGCGTAGGGCGGACTTGACACTTTGAAAGTTTGATGTGTGTTGCTGTTCTTGTGTGTTCTTAGAGAAGGAATGGAACCTGTTGAATATGACCTGGACGGAAATCGCAACGAAGCCGAGACTTCATCAGCACTGATCTTATCCATGGACTTTATCCAATTCGCCGCGGTCCATCTCAACAGCATGAAAATTAAATCGGAGAGAAAGCCGAATCAGCACTCCGTATTATTTCCATTCCACTACGGCAAGAAGCCGTCCAATTACCGCTGATGGCCCTGCTTAGAGGCCCAGATCTCCCAAGACTCGAAGACTCTTACCCGGTGAGATTTGTCTCGGCCGGATAGTCAATGGCCAAGCGCCCGGTACGCCGGCCGGTATCGCAGCCCGTTTGCCGTGTACCGTCCTGATGGTACCTCTCGCTACCGTCTTCAACCCCTGCGTAATCAACTTCCATATCGGGCCAATTTGCAAGGCACATTCCCCAATGGCTGGGTCGCCAGAACTGAACAGTTGCAGAGTCCCAGAATAGGTCGTTGGTCTAGTTCTCTCGCCGGGGTTTCGGACCGGCGAAGCCTTCCCCCTTGGGCCGAGCCTGTTGTTGCGTCGCTGACATGCGACCATCGATGATGTGGTGTTTTCCCTGTGAGTTAGGGGATATCGTTTGTTTCGACGATATAATCCCAATATCGGGCATCGTCTCGTCTTCAGCTGGCGTTTGGGTCGTTCACCCGTTCCCTACAGCGAGCCCACTGCATGCCATATGAACCAGTCCATCCTAGGATGGATGCCAGATGCAGCAACACTTGCTAATGATGTATTTCACACACATCTGGGACCCAACCTGTATGCAACTTGTTATTGTTTTAGTTATGCTGGTCTACCCAATAAGGGACCAGGGACTTGTCTATAATCGTACAGAGCTCTGGCTCACTCAGACCCAAGATCCGGCTCACCCAAGAAGTCTTTGGACAAAAAACCTGCCCTCAACCATTCCCAATGCTCAACCTCACACTTCCTTCTCTCCGCCGTTTTTTCTTTTCGCCAGACCCGCACCGCCATGCCTGAATACCACTAATTTTAGTTGGACATATTGTACAGTACAATGCCATCGGCCGTGAAATATACTAGGGGGACGAGCGGCGCGGTGCCGCCCGCATGCAAAGCAGAAAGGAAATGAAAATCAAAGGATTGAAAACAATGCTTTCCTTCCCTCCCCTTTCAACGCCATAAAAACACACACACAAAACTTTTTTGGGTCCCTTCGCCCTTTGAGCCTGGAAAATGCTGCAGAGTTTGATGCTGAAAGATGGGGGAAACCCGGTCGCGTGACCCGGTTATTGCTGTCCTGGGATGGCTGAGCCCCTCGCAATGTTGACACCCGGGCTGATGAAAGATCGAACGGCGATCTCACTGAAACGTCGGACAATATTTGTCGTTCCTCCTGTGACCTGCGCCTCATCTTGAATAAACTTGTTCGCCACGTAAAGCCGGTTCTTAGGGTCGGACTCGTCCATGTGCTGGGGAATATTCCTCTCGAAGCCGGGTTCAACCCTCGGGGAGATCTCGCGGGAGATGGCAATCGAGTAGATGAGATCGCGGTTTTCTCTGCCACCCAGTTGCAGCCGGAGATTACCAAGGATTTCGTCGCGCTTGACGGCATCATGATGGCACAGGTACTGGGCGAGGTTGTGCCAAAACTCAAATTCCTGCTGGCGATGGGGGTTGGCGTCGGGGACGGGAGGTGCGAGGGGGTTGGAGGGCAGGAAGTCGCCGGAGAGAAGGGTCTCGAAAACCCTGACTCTGTTGGCAGCTTCCGTCAGATCCTCAGGAGAGGGCAAGAACTTCGCATCCGTGTTGGCCGTCATGGTAGCACCGCTGCATGGCATACTGGCGAGGGCCCAGATCAACCGGGCCTCGAGAACTCCAGAATGGGCCATCTGAGTGTGGTCATTGGCGGGGACGGCCTGAAGGACTTTGACAAAGGATGCGAATTGGCTGATGATTGGCTGGTTGTGCTCGAGAGCGAATTTGCCTTGAGCATCCTTGGCATGGAACCAGTTGGTTTCGAAGAACGATTGCAGGCCGACGGCGTACACCTCGTTGTAAATGCTGATGATTTCGCCGAAAATCTCCGGGGTGAGGGCGATCTCCTGGGTGGGAGCAGCAGGGCCCAGGAGGCCGATAAGCTCATCGATTTTCATCTTTGTAACTACAGGTCTCGTGTTAGCACACAGCCATGGGTGCAGAGCAACGCTGAAAGAGAGCAAGGAATGTACAATAACTGCGGGAGGGTCGCACCTCTGAGATGGTTGTCGAAGCCTGCCCTTTGCTCGGCCGAGAACGGCTGATGATGCGTCGAAGAGATGGTGGCCTGAGCGGGTAGACTTTGCAGAGCCGGATCTATCGGGGCCGCGAAATCGTACGGGTTCGGCTCAGCCTTGACGCTTGATGCTGCTGAGGACAGAGCAGGATCCAGGGGTGCGTGAGAGGATGCGACGGTGGCGTTATATGAGCTGGGGAGGACCGCGGGCTGGTTGCCGTAGGGGTTGGACGAGGCGACGGACACGGGAGCCGGGGCGGCGGGCGTCGACGGAACGGTGGGAACCGTCGGAGGGACGGACGAAGGCACGGACGGGATGGTCGGGGTCGGCACGCGCTGGGTGTTGGGCGCGGGCTGGATGGCGGAAGGACCAGGCTGCTGCTTGAAGATTGGGTCGTAACCCAAGCACTCGCGCTTGGACTTCTTGCAGTTGTTGCAAGTGGGATGCGCCTCGTCGCACTGGTGAGGTTGGTTAGTTTGAGTGCAAAGAGAATTGACAAATAGATGAGTGAATCAGAGTGTGGCAATTGGGAAGTTGTGCGAGCGGGATGTCTTGTCGGTGAGAGTCGGTGTCGGTTTCAATTGAGGAATGAGGTGGGATGGATGAGGTAAGGCAGCGGCGATAGGGTAAGGTAGTCGGTGAGGCTAAGGAAGTACGCCGATCGGAGCCGGTCGGAGAGGGGCTGCAACTGCAGTGAGGTGAGGTGAGGTGAGGATAAGGTGAGGCGAGGCGAGGCGAGACCAGCCGAAACGTGCTGTGGGCGCGGCGGGCATTGGCATTGGCGTTTGGCGTTTGGCGTTGGCGGTGTCGGGTGCAGTGCGGCAGGTTCTTCTGCAGGAACGGAAGATTGCTCCTCCCTGCGGGCGCGGGCGCGGGCGGGCGCGATCCCGGGACGCGGACGTGGTTCATGGCTCCTCGCTTCGCAGTAGCTCCAAGTCAAGCGAGAAGCGACATTCAAGCGACCGTTTTTCCCGCGAAACCACGACTCGGTTCGCTTATCGTAAAGTTTGTTTCTTTACTCTGCCTCGCGCATTTCCTCTTTCCTCAATTGGGTGCCACCGACGAGCCCCGAACATTCCCCAATTGCAGTGCAGGCGCAATGCGCCGCGGCGGGATGTGAAGGGAGAAGAGGGAAAAAAACATTTCATGGAAAATCACACTACTAACCTTGATGCGACGCTTGCGACACGTCAAGCAACCCGTCTTCGTCCGGCGCTTAATCTCCTAGAAAACAGAAAAACCCAGCCGTCAGCTCGAGTTCCAACCTGTGACGACTATCAACCACCGTAACCTCCGTAACGTACCTTCTTGGGGCCTCCGGGACCACGCATCAGTCTAGGATCGTGGTGGTGGCCTGGCGGGAGGGCATAGCGCATGCTGTTCATATCCTGCGCCAAGTATGGATTTTGGACGCCCGGGGGCAGGTAGTAGGGCATGCCGGCGTTGGGAGCCATTGGCATCTGCATGGGCATAGGCTGGTGCTGCGGCGCGGCCGAGGGGTAGTGGTGATCGAGACTCTTCATGCTCGGGAGAGAGGGAACAGGCGCGCCAGGGCTGGCTCGATAGGGATCGGGAGGAGGCTGGGTCGGCTGGTGGTAGGCGTACTGGCCTTGCGGCATGGGAGAGGGGAAGTTGTTCGGGCTCGGGTAGCTCCTCGGGTGGCCAGGCGGCTGGTTGTTGGCCATGGCGGGCGACGAAGACGCCCTCGCGTCACCGTTCTGCTGGTGGGTAGGAAGCGCAGGAGCGACGGCGGAAGGAGCAGGCGCGGGCGCGGAGGCAGGAGGAGCAGTCGCAGTGACGGGCGCCGGTGCAGAAGCGGTCGCGGACGCGTTCGCAGGTGCAGTGGACGTCGTCTCGGTAGAGGCAGTCGGGGTCGAGGTGAGGGTCGGGGTCGCGGAGGGAGGAGGAGGAGGAGGAGGAGGAGGTGAGGTCGAGGTGGTCGGGGGAGGGACAGAATTAGTAGAGGTTGTCGAGGAAGCGACGACGTCGTTGGCATCAGAGGCCGGGACGGGTAAGGATGCAGGCGCAGCAGCTGTAGCTGTAGCTGTAGGCGTAGGCGTAGGCGTAGGCGCAACAGACGCGGGAGCTGTAGCAGCAGTAGTCTCGGTAGAGGCAGGAGCAGAAGCAGAAGCAGGAGCAGGTACAGGCACGCTTGTTGCAGTGCTGGCACTCGTGCTGGTGCTGATGCTTGGGCTGTCTTCTTGAGCCATTTCGATTTTAATTAGAAATTTTTATGGAGCCACGATTGGATTTCTGAGGTAGACCAGGGGAGGAGGCGTGTATGGATGCGTGGATGCGCGACACCCTGGGCAGAGAAGGAGAAAGGGTGACGGGAGAGCTGCGGAGGAGAAGGAGGAGGAGGTGCTGTGAGTGTGTCCAGCCAGTGCGTGAGTGTGTGAGTGTGCCTTGTGCCGTGAGGTGGTGGTCCCTGTACAGCGAGCGAGCGAGAGAGAGCGGCGCGCCTCGAGAGATTTTTTTCGCGTGTGGTGGTCTCTGTTGCTTGTCCACCACCACTGCTGCTGCTGCTGCTGCTTTGCCTAGGCCTGGGAGAGGAGCGGGAGGGGGTGCGGAGGAGCAGCAGCAGGAGGAAGGGTACGCGTAGGGGGGGTCGGTGGGTGTGTGCGAAGCGAGGAGGAGGTCTCGCGGTGTCGACGAGGAGGAGCAGCAGGAGGAGGTTGCTTGTCGTTTGGTGGTCTCGGGATGGGGGTGTCGTCAAGACAGCGCGATGCGGGTGCGGTGCGGCGCGGAAGCAAGGTCTGGTCGTCGGAACAAGAGAAGAAGCGAGCGAGTGACCCCGTAAGGAGGAGGAGGAGGAGGAGACGGGACTGGGCCCAAGGAGGCAACGCAACGCTGGGTACGGATACGCAAAGCAAAGCAACGCAGCAAGGTAGGTAGGTAGACAAGGCCGCCGGTATGCAACGATGTGCAAATCGTATGTGCAAAGTGCCAAACGACCTATGGAGACGGGAGAGGTGCTGTCGGGGGCGCGGAGTGTGGTGGGTTGTCGGCCGAGAGAAGGACTGGACTGGTCCTGGCGACTGGCGACTGGAGGAGGAGTGGATTGGACTGGTTGACTGGATGGACGTGGACGTGTGGACGTGGAGTCTGAGAACTCTGGAAGGAAGGAAGCTGGTTGGAGCTGCACAATTTTTTTTTTTTCCTTGCGCGCAACGGGACGGGTACGGATGCTGGGCTGGATGAAGGGACTCGTCCCGTCGGTACCTTAGCGCGCAGGGAAGGTCGCCAACAATGTCTACCTACCTTACCTATGGACCACCACGACAGCCAGCCAGTCAGTGCAGTGCATCTCAGCGTACAGCCAGTGCAAAGAGCTCTGTATGCAGTAGGTAAGGTGAGAATAGGCTGTTTCCCACGCGAGCACACAGCGCGGAGGGGCCAAGGGGTGATCGGGGTGTCTCCGTACACACTGCACTGCACCTCTACGTAGGTAGGTACTCAGGTCGGGCAAGGTACCTCGAGCTGAAAATGCGCAGGCAAGGTACCTTGGAGAAAGCTCCTCCAAGTATTGGTTGGGATTGGTGAGATATTGGTGCGGGTGGGTCTCCAAGGCGGCAGAACGAGAAGGGGCGATTCGTACCTCACTCTGTCCTGTTCTCTTGTATATACCAGGGAGGCATATGAACGGACATGTCCTGCACCTCACTGTACGGATACTTGTGCATACATGCCTTCCAGAACATCCACGGCCCGACAACTTCAGGGACGCGGTTGACGGGGGAAGGAAAAAGAGGAGGTGTCCCGTCGAGCATTGCATGCCCAAGGGTGCGTTTTACGGGGGAGTTGTTGTTGGTTCTCCGTTATGGGCTCACCAAAGCTCAGGTTCAGGCAGAGAGACTGAGAGAGGCTCAGGTATCCGTAGTGGACGTCAGTTCAGGCTCAGGCTGGCTCGGACTGGCAACAGAAGTACCTTACCCAGTGCTACTGAGAGCAGGGAGGTCGAGTTGCTCGGAAAGTACAGGCGAGGGCGCAGTTGACGGGCCGGCAGCGTGGAGCGAGTTTGGGGCCTGGAATAATCGCTTCGATATGGCCCTGTTCCCAGTCGACGAGGGGAGGGGAACGGTTTGCGGCCCTGTGCCTGTGCCTGTGCCTGTCCAGTGCCTGCGCGCCCTGGATCACTCACTGGGTGCAATGCCTGTCGTGTGCCCGCTGTCTGTTTGTCGTTCCGTCCGGTACCTGTTCCCAGGACGGTGGAGAGAGCCGCGACTCCTGAGAGGCCGGATGGGTCAGGGTCAAGTAGACTGTGTCGGCCATTGCAGGGGACCGTTCGAGATCAAGTGCGCCGGCGGGAGCAGAGTGGGTGGGCGCGGTGAGAGAGTGGAATCCCTAGGTGCATCGGATATGCCTAGGCTTTCATCTGCATTTGTACGAGTATCCGTACTTGCAAACCGCTGAGGGCCGGAGGAACACATAGTAAAATCAACGAAAGGACAAAGGTTAAGATTTAACGTGTTGATGGTTGGTGAACGGACCAAGCCTTACCTACCTTACCAGGCACAAGAGAAAGATGGGACTCGAGTCAAGATGAGTTTTACGGTGAGCCTGGTAGGGAAATGCCAGCCGCGTGGAACAAGAAAACGGCGCCTCTTTCCTCGGAAAACACTTGCTGGCCATCGGATTACACGTAATGCTCAACGGCCATTGGCTGCAAGCTCGACAGAGGTACGTACCTGGTGGGAGGGACGGAGGGAGGAGGTACGAATAAGCTAATGGAAGCTGGCCGCTGCTACCTACCTCAGGTAGGCTTGCTAAGGTAGGCACCTTAGCCCGGGCGGGCGAATCTTGACACTGACAGCATCTGCTTTGGGCGCTGTGCACCACTAGGGGATTTTAGCTCAGTGGAATCCGTCCCGACCATCCCACTGAAGTGCCTCACCTTCCAGGGGCGGTTAGCTTCCGTCCCGGACTTTGAGCCACGCCTCACTCCCAAGTGGCATCATGCTCCGTATTCCCTCTACCTCGGACAGAACATCACGAAAAGGCTTGGCTCTAACCAAACAAGTCGCTCGCCTTCGATCAAACGGCGGCTCTCACTCTGCTGAAATCTGCTTCACAACGATAGCCAGCACTGAATCTGCGACTCGAAAGAGGGGCTCCCAACTCCTGACGGCCCCGTGCCGGCCCCCAACAGGCCCGTTTCTGTGGCTGGAATGTCCCCCAAGACTGTTAACGCCAGAACATCATCGAACCATTTGCCCCCCCCGAGGCCCCCTCTCTCAAACATCCCCGGCCAATCCCCAGCGGTCCTTTTGCATACCGTCTGCGGGCAGGCAGTCACTGGCAGCTCATAGGGAACGATGGGTCATGTACCGACGCTAGCTATGTTAATATCCGTGCAACAACACTCGAACTGCTACTTTTGCTGCTACTGTGCCAATGGAGGTAGAGTCGCACACGTAAGAGACAGGACTCACTCTCCCATGTTCTCCAGATGATATCAGTCGCTGTCGAAAAAGGAGATATGGCCGTGGCCAGCTACGCAATTGCGTTCTGCATCTGGGCAATAATCTGGCAATAATCAATATCAGCGAAAAAGTAAGCCTGAATAAGGTCACGGTGCATTGGGAAGGTGTTGCCCATGATCGGTGCTTGCCCACTTCCATCAGAGAGAGGGACGCGGAAAGAGCCAAGAGGATACTTTGGCAGGACCTTCCTTCAGCCTCCGAGGTACCTGCCTGTCAGGTCCACTTCGCCCTGCCTTAGCCTCGTCTCGCACCTGAGTTACGTAACCGGCTACCGCTCCGTCTTGTTCCACCAGCAACCGCGGTCGCGTCTCCTCCACGTACACTTCCTATTCCTAAGATACTCGACTCGATTCCTCGAATCTCCATCCAATTTCACCGCCTGGGCCCAAATGCAGCAAAAGCCCGTCCTCTGCCCTCCTCTGCCAGCCTCTTCGCATGAACTTGCAATTCCACCAAAGCCACACGCGCAGCAGATCATTGAGGCGCTGCCTTGGCCTGGTCGATGGTCAATTTCAGCCCTGGGCTTTATCGGCCAGAATCGACATCATCGTCATCTTCCAGAACATCACCATCTGACAACCCCCAACTTCCGCATCTCAATCTGCATCACCGCTCCTCATTTTTTTGGTTCTTGTTCATCGTCACCCACCCCCCCCCGGCCCCGTCCNTTTTTCTCCCCCCCCCCCCCCCCCCCCCCCCCTTCGCAACCTTCCTTTGGCGACCACACACCTGGGCCGTCTCGGACCCTACCGCCAATCCGTCAAACCCTGCCCTGTCCTACCTACACCTTGCTCTGTTTGCTCTCGTCGCGACAGGCCCGTCTCCTCTCTCCCCCTTTCTACGCCTCCGTCTTTCCCTCCTCCCCTGTCCCCCCTCACATGTCCACGCCCCCAGCTAAAAGTTGTCAGGGCATCCCGAGCCATTGGCCCTGTTCACCACCATCACCACCGAACACCGAGCGAGAGAGAGAGCCACAATCTCAGACCGGCCGCCTATTCGGGTGACTCCTGCACAGGTCCAATATATTCCAATCCCTAGGGGCCGTCAACCTTCTACGTCTTACTCAGTCCGCCGCATCACGCTGCAAAACCAACCTCTTCAAGGCAGAAAAACTGCCTCGCCAACACCTGAGCAGTCATACTCGAGAGTCATCCTCGGCCTCAACTGATCAAATGAACACCTGGCAAGATACGGAGGACGCGCACCTCGAGTTGACGCCTTGAAGCTCCGAGGAAGGGCATGTGATGCCGGGCGTTGTCCAGAGATGGCACGTTCACTGATATCCCGCTATTCCGCCTCTTGGAGATTATCCGTCAATCGACTCGCTCCAATTCCTTGAGAGGCTTTCCATCAGCAGTCATCAGCAAGTACAACCCAAGCTATTCTTCCCGTTGGGAACAGCTTACTTCATCCCGTTGTAAACAACGCTCCAATCCCGTGTCTCCTTTTCACCGGGCATCATCCATGCGTCCGACATGCTCGCAGCCCACCCACACGACCGGCATCCCCTTTCAGCCTCTGCACCTCGTACCCAATAATGGCTTCTCGAGACTCATCTCCAGCCGTCTGTGCTTCTTCATGCGTTCATCCAGGGTCAAGCTCTGCCTCCTCGCCAACCTTACTTCTGACCATTGGGCAGTACGCAATGCTTCGTCAATCTCATTTGCAATCTCTGCTTTCTGCTGCCACTATTGCTGCATCGTACCCAGATGTCATCAAAACGATCCACGGCTCTACGTCCCAGGGTGACATTGTGGTTGCACAGCCAGCACCATTCCTGGACCATGTCATGTCGCCTCGCCTCGTTAATCGCCCACGTTACAACGCGATTTTACCTATTCGTTTCCCCGCAAACTCGGACGGGAGCTTTTTTTATGTCTGGTGCTTGCTTGTGTGTCGCTGTGTGGCTTAGACCGAGAGCGATCATCACTGTCGCTGTCAGTTCGACTTTTGATCCTGCGCGTGTCCTCGAACCGAGCCGGCTTGCTTTCCCCGTCGCACGAATACATGTGTACGAATTGCAGCGGCCCTCGACAGCCCCCCACCGATGCCATCTTCATCTCACCTCCCCTGGGAGCTTCCAGAACATCATTTGCCTTGGGGGCCTTGCATCGCATCCCCTTTTCTCGACTGCAGGCCTGCCGCCACGCAGCCAGACTGGCGGTCAGTGGCGTAGGGCTCAATCACAGTCATGCATCTCGGCTTTTCAATCTTCTTTTCCCTCACGTTGCAGACGGGCCAAGTCCGCGTTGCTTGCCAGAGATATGTACATAGGTCGACGGCCGCGACCGGGCCTATGCCGGGCAGCCGCCTCGCATGACGGATGCTCGCGTCCTGGCTTCCGGGGCTCTCGTACCTGAAGATCCTTTCCCACCTTTGTCTCTTTCATGTCGGTCGTAGCCCTGGTCTTCCCGTCTTCTCGGCGGCCCCAGCTGCCGCCGCGAACCGGAGCCAGCTGCTGCTGCTGGTGCTACTACCGGGATATTGAACTTTTTTAGCGACTGCTAGGGTTCCATTCCATACCACCGATGGTTCCGAAGGCAGATCGTTCCGTTCCCAAATATCACTCAGAAACGGCGCACCTTTTTTTATTTTGTTTTCTGCCTCTTCGTATGTAGGATGCCACACCAATATGTCGGCTTTTATGGCCGAAAACGATTGACCGCGTAACCTCGATTCGGCCTTCTTCCGACCTGTAGTATTGATATCACGGCTGTTATGGTTCATTGGCAATCAAACAAACGGTCATTTGAAGCTTACAGAAAAGCTTGCAGAGAACCTCACATTTTGCCAAGTAGCTTCAGGGGTGTAAGCGGCAGCCGAAAACATGTTGATGCTCGCAGCTCGACTGAGAGGTGAAATAACAATTTCACAAGGAATCTCTCGTGCGCATATCAAAGGGTGAAATTAAGAGCTACATATTGAACAACCGGCGGCCACGGACCGGAGACGATCAGTAACCCCTCGGCCGGAGCCTTGTGTGCGGACGCCGATCCCATCCCAGCCCCTCCCCCGTCCCCTTAACTTAATTCCAGTCATCGTAATCAGGCAGGTTCTCCTCGTAGTAGACCTCCTCGACGCTGCTGAAGCCGACGTCAGGCGCGTCGTACGGCCACGGCTCGCCGTTGCCGCTCGCAAAGAGCGCGAACATGGCGCCTTCAAAGTTGGGATACCCGGGGTTCGCGCTCATCTGCCGGGAGCTGAACTCTTTCACCCACATCGGCGAAGTTGAGTTGCTGCCGCGGGAGTATCCGAGGGAGTAGGTCAGAGGAGCGGCGCGGATGTGCAGCGTCAGGTCCGAGGGAATCGTCGACTGGCCGAGAGGGTACTCGGTTGACTGGGAAAGTATTAGCTTTGAACACACAACGATACAATTTTTGATTTCTCTTCACCATGAGAGAAGAGTGAAGGTGGTCTTACGTTTGGCCGCGTGTTTGCCCCATCCGACGTCGGCAGCAGATCGACGTACAAGCATAGTCCGGTCGTGTTCCAGCAGCCCCTGACGCCAATGTCCTGATGGTTGACCTCACTTAGGTACGACGCGATGCCGACGGACTGCCTCGGTCCGAGACCCTTCTCTGTCGGCAGCAGCTTCGCGGAGAAGGTCATGTTGAGCGACGTCTGCTTGTGGAAGACCGCGGCTGGCGTGTCGCGGTCGCCGAGCGTGAAGACGTTGGGGTTGAAAACGAGACCGCAGGACGACGACTCGTTGGACACAACCCTCTTATCATGGCCCGCTCTCGATACCTTGAGATGGAAGTTCTCCGTGTACGGCGTGCGGACCTGGTACCAACTCAGATCCAGCTCTGCCCCTGAAAAGTCGTCCGTCCACTTTGGCTTGGGAAGTTGCTGGTCGGGTCCCCCCTCGATGCTCTGGCTCAGCATCAGGGGCTCCCCGCCGTTCATCGTCGGCCAGTCGTCTTCCCAGTCGACCTTGACGAGGAACGCCTCGCGGCCGAGCACCGACCTCCCGTTGACGTTCCTGCGCGCCAGGAGGGAGGCGTACCACTCGCCGTCGGGGGTGTCGGTGAAGGTGGCGTGCCCGGTAGACTGCACGGTGAGGTTCTGGTCGGCGCCGTTGTAGATGAGCGGGTTGTTGGGGGCACCCTCGAACGGTCCCTCGGGAGACTTTGAGCGCCCGATCGTCGCGCGGTGGCCTGTACTCGTGCCGCCCTCTGCAATCAGGAGGTAGTAGAAGTCGCCACGTTTGAACATCTTCGGGCCTTCGGGACGGGCGCTGGCGATGTTGGGGAGCGTGCCGTTCCAGAGGCTGCGGTACGGGCCTACGCACTTGCCGGTGGCCAGGTTGATCTCGCACTGCGTGATGCCCCAGAAGCGGTCGTAGTTGTTGTTCACGCCCATGAGGTTGAGGTACGTCTTGCCGGCGTCGACGTCGTGGAAGATGTCCGGGTCGATGCCGTAAGGCTCCGCCCACGTGTAGTCTGACCAGGTGACGAGGTCCGGGGACGAGATGTACCAGATGCGCGGCCAGGAGCGCCAGTTCGGGTCAGAGCCCCAGCGGGTCATGGAGGTGATGTAGAAAAGGCCGTCGTGGTAGGAAAAGGATGGGGCCCAGACACCTTCGCCGTGGGAGATGCCGTATGTGGGCAGGTGCTCCGGGGTTTTGAGGACGTGAGAGACGAGTTCCCAGTTCGCCAGGTCTTTGGACTTGTAAATTGGCACGCCGGGGAAGTAGGTGAAGGACGAAACGGCCATGTAGTACGTGTCCTCGACGCGGAGGATGGCTGGATCCGGGTTCCATCTGGAGCGTGTCAGCAGGATGAAGACTTGGGAAGGATGGGGCGAAAGTGAGTTTACCCTGGGAGAACTGGATTCTTGATGGCTGAGACACCCGCAGCGAGCAGCAGAGCTGCGGCGGCCCTGAGAAACTTCATCGCGACAGTTGGTATCTTGGTCAATGAACAAAGACCACCTCAAGAGCTGGGAACATCACATATAGTCCGCCCTTTTATATCAAGCCCCGGGCACGGAAATGCACCTCCATGCAACGACATCTCCGGCCGCAGCCCGGCGTTCGGGTCCGGAAGATGGACCGACGCGGGGGCAGGGCGGGGGAACAGCGCGGGGTTCGCGCAGCGGGGGGCCGGATAAAAGCAGGACGCATGCCAGATCCGACAGATCTGCCCCTCGTACACCACGTCATTGTGCCAGGACCGATAGGCGGAATTGAGATGCACCGGCCTGCGTCGACGGCCTTGGCGGAGGGCCAAGCTTTCCTTCTACCGGGCATTGAGCAAGAATCGTCGCGTCGAGTGCCGATGGGTGTTGTGTGCTCAAAGTATGTCAGGGCCCCGGGGGTTTGGCCACGGCATGCGGTCCAATCATTGCTGGTAAAGGTCAACATGGAAAAGGGGAATTGCAGCGTCGTATTGCAGCGGGCTGAGACGAACCTGGCAATCAACTCGCGAGAATACGCCTTTCTCTTTCTCCTTTCTCAGAGAGATCGAGCAGTCGCAAAATGGCAGGTTATATAATCGTAATTTCTTGTTTTCGATGCTCTAATTCCCTTGATGGTTGATCGGATCGCCAGTTGAAGAAGACGCCGACACGGCGATATGTGCTGTCCTCGTTGGGTGCAAGGATGAGACCACGGGGGTAGTCTCCCTCGTAATTCGACACATGGATGCAGAGAAGACCGCCATATTCGTCCCAATACGGCCAGTCTACAGCGTCCAAGGAGGTAGACTCATTACCATCCGCGTCGAAGAGTAACTCGAGGTGTCTCCTAGGGCCTCTGGTCAGCTGGCTTGGGTCGAAAGAAATACAATTCAGCCTCAGGAACCCAGCGGTGATGGCTCCGTATGGCGCAATGTCGTTGCACAAGCTGACCGAAACCTCCTGGATGTCTGGATCTCGGGGATCTGTCAACTCCTGATCGGTTCCTAAGTATGACTCGTCAAAGTCAGCTCTCATGGTCGTGACGATCTAAGCGTGGAATTACCTGCGCAGGGAAAGTTGCATAGTTTGGCCAGTTCCAGGAAACCTGTCCTGTATAGCTGGCCCACGACCACGACGGTGCTATGTAGGACGAATGCAACGCGCGCTCCTTTCTGGGCACCCACAGGAGCTGCAGAGGCAGCTCCTTTGTGTTCCACAAACCTGCGACATACAACGGCAAGGCTGGTTTCTCCGGATTATTGAAGAAGGAAGCTGCCATGCGCGCGATGCCGGCGATGGCAGGCAGTCGGTCCTGTGGTACGAAGAGGACCCGTGATGTATAATCATTGAGAAGCCGTGCCCATAACGTCAGCCTTCGTAGTTCTGCGAGATCCCGTCAGACGAGGAACCAAGTATGGGAAGCTTTTTGGAGGCCTGGATACCGTATTCTTGCCTCCAATGAGGGCTACCCACATGCATGTCTCTTCGATAATCGAATATCTCGGTCCGAAGGACGTTGTGGCCAACCGATCGCGTTTGATTTGCGCCTCTGGCCATGCAAGACCACCAGATCCGACGTTCCCCAAAGGTGGCTAACCTCGTGGCCATGATTGATTCCTGGAAAGTCCAACCTCGGGCATCGATCGGGAGATCTTCTTGCTGTGTGGGCGGGACGAGCTTGAGGTATTTGGCAACGTCTCTCTTTTCACCGAAATGTGCGGGAAAGTAGAATTGGGTCAGCACGTTCGTGCCCTGCTCGTCATTTCGTGATAGAAATCCATCGTGACAGCTCTTGGCTCTCGCCGCAGAGATTGTTAAGACGGAGTTGGCGTAGTAATCTGCCATGTGTTGGACTTCCTTCGCCAGACTTTCGGTGTCATCCTGTACGATGCAAAGGCTGTCTACCCAGAGAAGACCAATTCCCAGTTTTCGCGTGACAAAGATGGCATCTTGTATAGTCTTTGGTAATGAAGTGATCTTGATCATGTCTTCGTGATGTGAAAGATTCAAACTCGTCGTCTTCACAAATTGCTCAGAGCCCCAGCAGTAAGAGAGTGCCACATAGGGGTCGGTTCCTGTACTGCTCAATTTGGTTATATGAACAGAATTCATGTCCCCAGTACCGACGGAGATGAATCGCAGAGGGCGAACTTCGGTCTCCTGCCTGCATTCATCTTTGTGACATTCCAGACACCAAGCCAGTCGACGGCGGATCTGCCCAATACCGCTTTCTACGTCCGAGATACCATCGATGGTTCGGAAAACCGCTGGTTCTGTGGCGGTCTCCCCTGGAAACATTTCAGCTCGAGCGACTGCCACCTCTGTTCATGGAACTCACCTTCGTCCGACTCAACATCAAGACTCGGCATCGGCAGAAGGTAGTGACGCTGGCCATCAGTCATTCGCACTACTAAATCACAGCGATAAACATCCGCCAAGTTTTCCCGAGAAGAGTTCAAGATAAACTTCATCTTGACCTGCAAGAGCCTTTCAATCGGTGACGACGATCTAGCAATATGCTCTCTCAGCCAGGCGAAGAAGGGACACCCGGCATCGGCAGCTTCGTGGACAGCCTCCATGTCTCGGTGGAAGTCATTGCGCCATACTCTGTCAATGATTAGCCTCGATGCAAATGACAGCGAATGTGACTCACGTTGCTCTTCGCTTTCGATCCTCCCCCGAAGGCGATATCAAGAGCGACGTGCAATGGCCACATGCGTGGTGGTGTCCGGTCGGCGAAGTATTCAGGAAGCTCTCGACTACGTCTTGCTCAGGAGTCTCCATGCTGATACCGAGCTCTTTTGAACGAGATGTCTCACCTCATAATGTCCCATGCCTTGTTTAGACTAATTCAAGATCATAGAGCCGCTTCATTTGGGGAGAAGAGCGCGATTAACAAAGACGCGGGGATTTTCGATTTCAGCTCAGCCCCGGCGACAGGGGTGTGAGTTGCCGTTGACATGTTTTGCATGTTTAGGCTGCTACGGGTGTAAGCGGAAGGTGTCCAGCGCCAGGCGCTTAGAATCGCCTAGCTTCTTGTGGTGATGCAGGGGAAGATCTCCGTTGGAATCACTTTAGTGTTGAACCTCAGACAGATGATGCAGAACTGGTATATTGTATGTAGACGGAAACATTAATTGAGTGTGAGATCTAAACCAATGATTCGCCCCCAAACAATACATGAACCCCTTTAGCACCGGTCGCCATTGACAAACACACTCCAGTGGTCTTTGCTGGACTTTTGGCCGTTGTTTTGCGTGTCTTTGGCCTGTCCAAAGTGATCCTTGCCGTAGGGGTCTTTTTGCCCATTGTCGTTCGTCAGGTGGACACCTTTGCCGCAGACCATGCCAATGTCGTTGGCGTACTTGGCGATCTTGGACCAGGGCACCTTGACCGTGCGACGACTGTTGTTGCAGAAGTAGACGCCGACGTTGTAGGCGCAGGAGACGCGGGTGCAGCGACCGGGGCTCTGGACGGCATTGCCGTCGAGGCCGTTGAGGTACCGGTAAGCGCCGCCGGCTTCGTCGCGGCCTGTAAGCTGGATCTGCGTCGTCTTGGAAAGATGACCGATGTTGCAGACGACGCCATCGAGTGGCTGCGGCGTTGGCGCCAGTGATGGCGGTGATGAGGAGGGTGAGAGTGGCAGTGAACTGCATTTTTGCTGGTTGTGGTGGTTTGAAGCTTGGTGGAAGCGGGTGTGTAAGATGAAGTTGGAGGAATGTGAAGTTGCAGGGAAGACGTTGATGTGGTTGCGAGCCCTCTTCATATACCCCATAGATCGGCCATAGAGGTCTCTTCTTGCTGACCCTCACGGCGATTTATATGTCCAATTTGTAGAGGCTTCGCCACACCATGAAAAATTCTGTTTATACTTCAACAGGTGCCTATTAAGCATTCTAACGCGGTTTCTACTAGCTAAGAAAGCTTTGATCTAGGTTCGTAAGAATGCCATTAATCTATCTAGCCTGCTTAAAAGCCTTTCTAAATCATCAAAAATCCTCTAGATCAGCAATACCAGATTAGTTGGCATGTCATCTCGCTGCCTGCCAAGGTTTCAACGGCGGTAACTAGCTGTTGTAGATGGGCTTGCCTTTGGTGGAGATGGCGGCCGCTGTGGTTTGGAGACATTGACGATGGCAAACGAAGAAGGTCTGCTTTCTTTTGCCATTAACTCAGGTATTGAAGCATGAAGGACCCCAACCCGATCATTTGTTACCCCAAGAGGTTGTGAGAAGCTAACCTGTCTTTGTGTCCAGCGTCCAGGTCAAGTCTCACTTTAGCCGGTCGTCAAGGCTGTGTGGCCCTAGAGGCAAGTGTCAAATAAGAAAATGAACACGTGGGGAATCGAGTTGATCACATGGAATCAGTTTTATGGGGAAGGGACAGTGTGTGAAACTACTTTCATCGACAATTACGTGTGTACTATAGGTACGAAGACGCCAGCACAACATGGGCAAAAGATCCCTGGCACAGAGACAAACATTCAGAGAATCAACCTTGATTGACATTTTATTACTTTTCTTCAACGGTAAAAAAAAACGTAGTTCAAGCCTAGGCTTGTCAACCTTGATAATTGTGTTTTACTACCCGTGCGGAGGGATTATAGATGACAAGTATGCTATGATGACAGCAACAACAGGAACAGCGATTGCGGCGACATCAACTATGGTAGAGAATACAATAAGGTTACCAAATAGGATAACAACACGAACCACGTGGATAGCTAGATAGGTGATCCTTCTAACTATTTTTAACTTTTGTGTAGTAGGTTACCGCGTACGGGCACACCTTTTTGACTACTGTGCAACTCTAAAGGGGAAACATGTGTTACTCTTCGCCCTCCGACTTCGAGCGGTGTTAAGCGTGAACATGAGTGGTATGTCAGTGAGTTGACAATGTGGTACCCGGAAATCCAGGTTACTGCCCCTCCCGAATAACTTTGCAGGCCTTCTAAATTTTCGCTGCAATCAAGCCTATAGTCTTATCTTGATGTAGGAAAGGTAAGCGTCATTGGTTCCAGACCCCTGGCTGAGCCATGCCCTACTCTCAGCTCATGCAGGTTCGGCATCTCAGAGCTGCGTCACGCGGTCCCTACCACACCCTCCCGGGAGCCCAGGGTAGCAGTGATAAAATCAGACTCATACCTCCCCCTCTAAAGACGAATCCGTAGTTGAAATCTCAGCTCGCAAGCATGTTTTCGCACATCGGCCCCACGAGCGGCGCTCACACCCCTTTCCTTCAATGACGCTGACCCTGCTCGCCTCCCTCTTCCTCCCGACGCCAACCTCCGCCGAGCCCGCCGCGACAAGAACCTGGGTCTCGGAACCAAATGGCCGCGGCACCTTCAGTCTTGTGAGCTCCTGCATCCTGACGCTCACAATCTGCGTCTGGACGGCGCTCCACCTCAACGTCCCCGCCGCGCGCTCCACGGCTCGGAGCCGGGCGCTCGAGCGGGCCAAATGGGTCCTCTACGGCATCTTCGCGCCGGAGATTGTCGTCGCGACGGCGGCGGCGCAGTACATCATCGCGCGATGGCTGAAGCGGGAGATTGAGAAGGACGCTGCGCACCGGGGAGATGCCGACGGGCTTTCGAGGCACAAGTGGGACATGACGCAATGCTTTTACGCCGTGATGGGCGGGTTTGTGGTCGACAGACCGGCTTGTGGGGAGGAGAGCGGCGGCGAGAGGGTCACGCTCACGCCGGAGGGGATTCGCCTCTTGTCATTTCTGGGGAAGCTGCCCGAGATTCACGAGTCCCAGATACAGGACAAGAGCAAGGCGGACTGGATGGCCAAGTTGCTGGTCTGCATCCAGGCGGGATGGATGGTTGCCCAGGTCATTGGGCGCGTGATTGAGCGGTTGCCTGTGTCACTGTTGGAGATAAATACGTGTGGCCATGTTGCGTGCGCGGTGCTGTTGTATCTTCTTTGGTGGAGTAAACCTTTGGATGTCCTTGACCCGACGGTTGTGGGCGAGGGTCTTGGTGATGTGGTTTCGTTGATGTCGGCGTGTTCGTCTGTAAGCGCGGTTGATGGAGTCACCGATATTCGATGTTTCATCTATTTGCCTGCAGGCTCGGTGGAGGGCGGTGGAGTGCGGGTTGCGGGAGATGCCTTGCACCAAGATAAGAGGGTTCTCGTGACAACTCACTTGTCGATCGGGTCGCCTGGCTCTAGGGATCCATCTAGGTTCCTCGGGTTCGATGTAAGCGAACTTCGGCCGCGTCGGTCGCCGACTGCTCTCAATCCCCAGACAAGAACTGTGCCCCGGTCTGCATATGAGTACCACATCGATCAGGGCAAGCAGACAGTCGCGACAGAGTGCCTCCAGACGTACTTTGCGCCTCCGTATAAAGAGCTCACGCTGCACCACAGCAGAATCTACTGTCGGAGGGTATTCTCCGATGTTCAACAGGGGAAGAGAAGCTTCAAACCAATCGATCCAGACTTCTTGACACAAATTGCAAAGGCAGCAGACGTCCTATGGGCACAATGCGTCGATCGACAGTCGTATGCTCCCTACTACTTCACCTCGGTGCCCACTATTGGCATTTTCCTGGGCGAGACCGATTACATCGTACCTCACGTCGTCAATTTCCCGTCCATGACGAACTTAGGGCTTGGCCAAGTCAACGTCCATCGCGACGTCTTGCGTTCCGTTCTTGCTTTGACAGCAGCAGCATACGGCGGGCTTCACCTCTCTGGCTGGGTGGACTACTTCCCTACTCCGGTTGAGCGTACGCTCTGGCTGGTCTCTTCGCTGACTATAGCATGCTCGGGGGCCATCCTTTGGATCTTCTTTCTCGCGCGTCAAATTTGGCCAATATTTGACGTTTTTGTTTCCGGGGCGGCTCCAGGGTCACGTCTGTCAGGCTATGGCCACCAGAAACCCTGGATGAAATCGGCGAAGTCGTGGGTCTTGGGTTCCGTGTTGGCTGTATTTGCTGTGGCAAGGGTATTCTTGGTTGTGGAGGCTTTCATCAGCCTCCGTCAAGCCCCCGCAGACTTGTACGACACGCCGGAGCTCTCTGCCTTCTTTCCTCACTTTCAATGATAGTAGTTACGGGGATGAATAATAATTTGCCCTCGAGCAATAGCTCGGCATTATTGTTGGTAGATTGAGTGATATACATCTGATAGTTTCGTCAGATCGACATAGATAGGAAATGTTTGTTTGTATGGGATAGCCAGCCTCGACTGAACGCCTCACTGGAGTCTCCGGGTATCTTCTGGTCCAAGCAAGCCTCCAAATGACATAGGAAATGAGATTAAAGTGAAGGTGGAACGAGGTTTCGAGTGAACCACTGCCTCATGCAGGATGTGGGGGTTTCTTGAACTTCCAGCCTTCGAGCAGCCGAGCAACTTTGATGTGTTCCTTCTGCCTGGCTAAGCCGGCAGGAGTACCTTGTCGATAGGTAGATTTTGTCTTGTAGTCAGCTAGTGTCTCGAAGACTGCACTTGCATGCGTCATCCTCGCGCCTCGTTGTAAGAGCAGCTTCACCGTAGTAGCATGGCCATTTAGGGCTGCATAATGAAGTGGCGTGGCGCCGTGGTGATCGCGCTCGTTGGGGTCGAGGCCCAACTCAATTAGGAACTTCATCATCGCAGGATGGGCCGTACTCACGAAGAGGAGGTTTCCGCATGACTTTGATCGCTCTCGAAAGTGGGCGCCGCCGGCGAGCAGAAGGCGGACAGTGGCAATGTGTCCAGCCTCCGCTGCAAAGAATAGAGGTGTGTACCCAGGCCAAGTCCTTGTGTCGAGATCAACACCAGCCTTGATCATCGTTGCAATCACATCGTTCTGTCCTAGGTGAGCTGCTTGATGTATCGGGGTCATGCTGGTTTCTCGTCTCAAGGGTGTCGTGAGATCTGCTCCGCCTCGGACGAGTGCCATTGCAATGCGCGTGTTTCCGGCTTTGAGGGCCTGGCAGATGATTCTTTCTGCACCAGGTGCAGCGTGGTCGACATTTGCTCCGATTTCAATCAGGAACTGGGCCGCCTCGTAACACCCCAAGTGCATTGCGATAGTGAGGGGAGTCTCACCGTGCTCTGTCAAGGGGTCGATGGGCGAGTCGGACTTGAACAAAAGATGCAAGATCTCGACTCGGTTCTTATGAGCTGCCATGTGGATGGGTAGATACCCTTCGCCGCCGACGGCGTCCAACCTCGCGGCCTGAGAGAGCAAAAGCTTCATAGTGCGTAGGTCGCCGGCAGCAGCGGCAGCGAGAAGTGGAAAGTTCCCTTTTGTGCTGGGATGGTCGACATTAGCGCCCGCCTGGACCAGCACCTCGGCAATATCAGGGCATGCCATGGCGATCGCGAAGGTCAGAGCGGTGTGTTCGTTGACTCGCCGATCAAGATAGGCGCCTTGGTCGGAGAGAAACTCCACCAAGGGGCAGCTGTGCATTGAGATGGCGACGTGGAGTGCCGTGCGTCCATTCTGCAAGCGAGCTTCCAAGTCTGCGCCGAATTCGAGGAGCCTCTCAATCGACTTGAATCGGTAGTTTTGCACAGCTGCTAACAATGGCGTCCGCCCACCCAAGTCTCGGCGGTCAACGTCGGCTCCAGCATGTATCAGAACAGCTAGAGTGTCGTCGTCTTCGTTTGAAGACATGGCAGCATAGTGAAGAGCTGAGCACCCCAATGCGTCTACCGCATTGACTGAAGCGCCGAGATCGCAGAGCAAGGAGACGTATTTGTCTGAGAAATCTTGTTTGACAGCAGTGATGAGCGCCGTGTCGCCATCCTCGCCGCGGTGCTCCAGGTCTGCTCCCGCGATGGCGACGAAAGTCGCAATCGATGGAAGCTGCCGGCTGAGAGCTCGACGTAGCGGGGTGATCTTGGATCCAAGACTAGGCGCATTCGGGTCGATCCGTTGCAGCAGAAGCTTCACGACAGTGGCCTCGTCCCCTCGATCGATGGCATCGTGCAGCTCCTTGGCTGTTCGCATGCTCTGTTTGAAAAGGGTCCCAGGCTTTGGCCTGAGTCTCCTCAGCGCGGAGTGGACTCCGGACACGTCGCAAACAGACGAGACATCTGGACGGTTTCGTGGCCCGATTGTTGACAGACGCAATCGACTGCCCTTGTTCAAAACAGCCGGGCTTATAGCACAGTCCCACGGGACGAGGCGGGATGAGTGCATGAATGTGGAGTGGTTCTTGGACGTCACATGCTCGCTGGAGAGTGTAAGTGTCGATCGCAAGCCCGGGAGGGGGAATTGATTTACCTTGGAACACAGTTTAATAGGAAAGCGAGAGATTGACGGCTTGTTCTTAGCTGGCGATGGATCTGCCTTAGAGTGTCTTCGTTCCAGATAATGGTGAGTTGGCCATTGGACATGTCGACGGCGCTGTCGCTCGTGGCAGGGCGGATTCGCGCACTGTAGAAGTCGAGCTGTGAAAGGTTGGTCGCGACGGCATCCAGGGCTTCGTGGCAAGATTCATCGAGGAGAACAGGGTCGAATACGAGCGTCTCGGGAATAGTCTGACGGAGATACTTAAATCGTCGAAGAGCATCGGTGACGGCCTTGCATTCTTTGGCGAGCGCAGCTAAAGTGACGGGAGCAGTGTTGAGACTGTTTGACATTTGGGCATATCGATCGGCGAGAAGCTGGGCTGTCCGTATCAAGTCGGCCAGGCCGGCACCGGGCAGACATCCCGGGGAGTCCATCGCCGGTGACCTAGGTGGCGAGACGCATCGACACGATAGGGCATCAAGAACGAGAAGAAGCAACGTGAGGGTTTCGAGAGAAGACGGAGCTCTTTTGTGCAGCAGAGGACTCGCTCGAGGAGATGAGCAGCGTGATCGCGGGGCCAGGGGGGCCAAATCTGGAAACGACCCATTCCGAACCAAAAAGCAGGACGATATGGTCGGTCCCAAAACGGTAGTTAGGGCGATGCTAGGCAGGGGAAACTATTGGAGACCATTTGGCGAAATGAGGCAACTGGCGAACCCAGGTGTCTGGATCCTCGCCAAGGGCGTAGCGGCAGATTAGTGCGCGACCTGACACCATTGTCCTGAAAGTCAATCCAGGTGATGAATATCGATGTCGGTTTCGAGCTAGAAGGACGGGAGAGAGACGGGTGAAAATGGGGAGAGGCGATTCGGGTGCTGGTCCGCAGGCGGCAAGGAATTGGGATCATCGCAGCGGGAGACGCGCCGGCGCCTTACTCAGTTCCATCACACTGCGAGTGGACATGGCTTGACGTGCATTATTGGCCGGGATATCGAGTGGTGCTCTCAAGGGGAACCAACAAACGAAGGGGCGCAGATCGACTGATGGAGCAACTTTGCCCGTGGGCATGGAGCCCGGAGCCGGAATCCCAGTGCCCTTGGAGGGGCGGAGGGGATCCGTGTGGTTGACGCTTGTCGTACGTGATCGTGACAAATCGGGGACGAGGAACGATGAGAACAGACTTGACTTGGATCGCGGGGTTGGAAGATGCGCGATGGCATGTTTTTCTTTTTCTGGTCGGTGGCTTGAAGACTATCGACAACTGACGTGAGGCTAGAGCGGCGCTCGTGCCGTTTGGTGGGAGATTGACAGCTTTCTAGCTCAGGCGAGCACACGTGGGGGAGACGTGGGAAGAAAACGGCAGTCGAGGTGAGCTGCCGAGACATTTTGACGGTTTTCGAATCCCTGAAATTCCTTGGAAGCTTGGGCCACCCACCTGGGGACCAAGCACAGACCATCAAGACCGTAGCGAGCACAGGCCATCCGTTCCAGTGGTCACCGAGGATCTTCCGGAGGGCATTTTTATTTTTATTTTATTTTATCTTCCTTCTTTTGGCTGCTGACTGATTGGACAGGTGCTGCCTCCAGCGCGTCCAGGTGCACACCTCACACAATCAGTCCACCCGCGCCCACTAGCGTGCTCTCCAGGCATTCCCATGCCCCGGACAAGCTCCCCCCGGTAATAAGGTAAGGTACGCCGTACCCGACATCTGCTAGCCCACTGCGGATGGCTTCCGTCGACGTAATCGAATTGATTCAAGCCCACCCGGACCTGTCGTGTCTGAGCATCACCTTTGTTCTACAACATTCTCCAAGTTCACGGCCAACCAGTCGGCGCACCTTCAGGAAAACGACCGCTCTATCATCGAAGCACGTATCCAATCTGGCGGGCATATTCTGGAAAAAGGAGCCCTCCGCCGTGGCTCCTGTCGTCGCAAATCCTTCCAACCCTCCTCCATCTCCATATACCGACATCATGACCCAACCGCCACCCGTACCACACCTCACGCCTCAGTTTTGCTTTTCGACCGGGACTCTCAGAGGTCACCTTACCTTCACCTTCTCGAGCGCGCCGTAGAACACTGCTGATACCCATCCATAGACTTTCTCCGGTTGTCCCGCGCAAGTATCGACGACTCGATATCACAGAACCTCAATGCTCTGGTAACACCATCTCGAGCCGGCTTCGACCCATCATCGACCTCACAGCGCACCCCGAGAACATTTCCGCGACAAATAGACCCTCAAGCATGCCAGAACTTCAAAGATCAAGCGTTGTTTCCGACATGGCACGCGCGAGCCGAGGTGCTGCACTATTGTGGCGTAGTCGCAACGAGCCCAGATCCCGACGACCCAGAGGCTCTGCTACGACAGATTGAGACGGCCAAGGACAAGGAAAGGGTAGTGGATGAGCGTTTGGACCCATACTCTGGCAGGTTCTTCCCACGAGAACCCCGGACAGAGCAGCTTGCCATGCTGATCCGGCAGGAGAAGGGCGTCGAGAACATTGTGCGGACAAGGACCTGGGACATGGTCAAGCAACGATGCGGCGAGTCCGCAAACACATGGGAGGAGGCATTGGAGGGTTGGCGACAGAGGACTGGTGCCAAGGGGGACAACCGATAACCTTTCCCTTGCAGCACTCGTCAAGGGGCTTGTAAATATCCGTGTATAACGAACCATTGTGTACCATTACTGTACCACCACTCCCGACAATGATCAATGAGAATACTTTTGGAAACTGGCAGACAGACCCCTCATTCGGAGTATGAGCGTGGATTGCTTGGGGACGAATCGGGATTGATGCAGCGGCTCACAAGCTCTCTTCTGGCCTTGGCAGGCACGACACCTAAGCATTGAAGCTCCCGATCATGCCGACGGCAGCCATCCCAACTTGTTACCTTACAGCTCATGAACCTTGGACTGCACCCCCACCAAGATCTGGTGGTTTTGGCAGTGCCGTTGCGGCTGGAACGGGGGTGCATATGGGGTGAGGTGGTGAATGTGAGTTGGATGAGGGGGAGCACTGACAGTCAGGCCAGTTTGCCCCACCATTGCCTGCCCGCCCGGTGGCTCACCTCATCGGTTTTGACTCGGGTTTGGCGCTCCCTCCCACTGAGGTGCCTGGATTGAGGTGTCTACAGCGTGTTTCTTAGCAGGGCCGCCGCCGCCAAACAGTCCCGGCCGCCGCCGGCAGCCACAAGACGGGACCACAGCGGTGCACTTTACTCGCTGTGTGGCTTGGAACATCTGTGTGGCCGAAGCGTCTCCAACCCGGCCTAAACCTCATCGCTGCTGTTGATTCGACTCTTTTGCAGCTCCGATTGTGGACTCGTTCTCTCGTCACCTCTCACCATCCCACCGCACTCCCCCACAAGGCACGAGACCCGGTCCCCGACACAACCGACTCCTGCTCTCTGCATCTCAATCATCCTCTTCGATTTCTGCCAGGAGCACAGCCGTCCAGTCGCCTGACTGCAGCCAAATTAGTGCCCCTCCTTCGTCGACGAGGACCCCTCTCCCGCACCGCAGCCGCAAACGCACCCGAAGAGTTTTGCCTCCGACGACTCTTGATTGTGCCTCAGCCTCGTCCAAGACATTCGCCTCGACAGCTGTCTTTTCACTGCCATCGCAATCCCGCCGAGTCGAGCGCCGATCTACCCCCCACCACCAACCCGATGCCACAGCCTCTCAGTGCGAAAGAGGCTTCCCTCTTTCGGTCCGTCATCCGCGCCTATGAGGATAAGCAGTACAAGCGCGGCCTCAAGTCCGCCGACCTCATCTTGAAGAAGGTTCCCAAGCATGGCGACACCATGGCCATGAAGGCCCTGATCATGAATGCTCAGGGCAAGACCGACGAGGCCTTTGCGCTCGGCAAGGAGGCCCTGACCGTCGACATGAAGTCGCACATCTGCTGGCACGTCTACGGCCTGCTGTACCGCGCCAACAAGAACTACGAGGAGGCTATCAAAGCATACAAGTTCGCGCTCAGGCTCGAGCCCGAATCTGCCCAGATCCAGCGAGACTTGGCCATCCTTCAGGTCCAGATGCGCGATTATGCCGGCTACATCCAGAGCCGCACAGCTATGCTCCAGGCTCGGCCTCAGCTGCGCCAGAGCTGGACTGCGCTGGCCATTGCTCACCACCTCTCAGGCGACCTTTCCGCTGCCGAGAACGTCCTCACCACCTACGAAGGAACCCTGAAAGCTACCCCCTCCCGCGCCGACTACGAGAACTCCGAGGCTATCATGTACAAGAACACCATCATTGCCGAGCAGGGCGACTACCAAAGAGCTTTGGACCACCTTGAGTCCGCCGCCAAGCAGAACCTCGACAGATTGGAGTACCTGGAGTTGCGCGCCAAGTACCTGCTGGAGTTGGGCAAGAAGGAGGAGGCCATTGCTGCCTGGGAAGCTCTCGTCGAGCGCAACGCTGACCGCCCCGCTTACTTTGAGGGCTTGGAAAAGGCCCACGCCTTCTCCGACAGTGACAAGGACGCCAGGAAGCAGGTCTACGACACATACGCCAAGAAGTTCCCTCGCTCAGACGCCCCTCGCCGTTTGCCTCTGAACTTCCTCACGGGTAAGTTTGACGGATATGCCATTTGATTCGACGTCTAACAGACAGCAGGCGACGAGTTCCGCGCGGCCGCCAAGGAGTACCTCACTTTGATGTTCAACAAGGGCGTTCCCTCGACCTTTGCCAACCTGAAGCACCTCTACGCCGACTCTGCCAAGAAGGAGGCCTTGGAGGCTCTCGCTCAGGAATACATCAAGTCGCAGAGCTCTGCCACAGAAGCTGCCAACGGCGACCGCTCTAAGGGCGAGGCCGCCGCCTTATACTTCTTGGCGCAACACTACAACTACCATCTGAGCCGCGATCTGGACCAAGCTCACAAGTACATCGACCAGGCCATTGAGAAGGTCAAGGACAGCGTCGACTTCCACATGACCAAGGCTAGGATATACAAGCACCAGGGCGACCTCAAGAAGGCTTCTGAGACCATGGACCAGGCTCGCCTTCTGGATACCAAGGATCGCTACATCAACACGAAGGCCGCCAAGTACCAGCTGCGCAACAACGAGAGAGAGCAAGCTCTGAAGACGGTAGGCCTCTTCACTAGGGCCGATACGGTTGGTGGGCCTCTCGCAGATCTCCTGGATATGCAGTGTGTTTGGTTCTTGACAGAGGACGGAGAGGCTGCTGCCAGGCTGGGAGATGACGCCTTGGCCTTGAAGCGATTCCACACCGTTCACAACATTTTTGACGTGTGGCAAGAAGACCAGTTCGACTTTCACAGCTTTTCTCTTCGGAAGGGCCAGATCCGCGCCTACATTGACATGGTCAGGTGGGAGGATCATCTGCGCGACCATCCTTTCTACTCAAAAGCGGCGCTTGAAGCTATTCAGATCTACCTTAAGCGCGCTGATCGCCCGGCCACTAACGGTGCCAACGGTGCTGCGAACGGCGACGATGCGTCCGAGAGAAAGAAGGCAGCTAAGAAGGCCAAGAAGGAGCAACAGCGTCTGGAGCGCGAGGCAGCCGAGCGCGCAGCCAAGCAGGACCCCAACAAGGGGAAGGCGAGCGAGGAGCCCAAGAAGAAGGACGACGACCCGTTGGGATTGAAGCTTCTGGATGCCGAGCCCTTGAGCGCCGCCATGCGTTTTGTCACTCCCCTTTTGCAATTCAGCCCCCAGAACATCGAGGCCCAGTTCGCCGGTTTCGACGTCTACTTGCGCCGCAGTAAGTGGTGCCCGAACCCACGACAGGCAAATGTCCAGCGCTAACATGTTCACAGAAAAGTACATTCTTGCCCTGCGTTCTCTCAACGCTGCGCGTGCTCTCGACGAGTCCAACGCCGGCGTTCAGGAGCGCGCCCACAAGTTCGCCGAGGTCATCAAGCCCGCCTTGGAGAGCCTACCAGCCAAGGTCCAAGAAGTCATCAAGTCCGAGTTCAAGGCGCCCGCATAAAGAGTGTGTCGTGATAAGCGCCAGATGAATCGAGCAAGAGAAGGCTTGCGACGTCATGGTCTCGAAACTAGAGACGGCGGCGTGGAAGGTGGAGCAGGACGACCGCGGTCATCATCAACGGCGGGGATGACGAGGCAAGTCATCGAGTCCGGGATACAGTGCATAAAAAGTTGTGATAGAGGGCTACCAAAAGCTTATGAGACTCCATTTCTGCCGGAGCCGTCGCGCATTTTTGTATGTCGCATCCGTACCGAGGCCGTGATATCCAATTCCGCCTCCAACCCTGATCAATAACCAACCCCTTTTGTACCATTTCCCTGTGATTGTGTGTTATACAAAGCTTTACTGCTCGAACGAATTCGTGACGTCGACAAAAGACGTCCACTGTTGGAGAGCCTTGCCGCTCTTGACGGCCCAGCGCGCTCTCCGCACGCCCTCCTTCCACCGTCCTCCGCCGGGTCCCCGCTCCTTGATGACGTTGCCGTCGTCGCCGGGGCCCATGTTGCTCGACTCGGCCTCGCAGATGCCCGACGCCACGAACAGCGTAGCCGTGTTCATGAGCACGAACTCCAGGATGGGATCGTCATCAGCCATCTCGCCGCTCAGTATCCTCCTCAGGATCTCGGCGTTCTCTGCGGGTTCCTTGCCGGGAGAGACTGTATTCAGGGGGTGCGTGCCGAGGCCGAAGTCGCTGGGCTGCACCTTGAAGTGGTCCTGCACGACGTCGCCGCTGCCGTCGGGCGACGCGCTGAGCCTCCAGACCTGGGTGGGACCCGCGCAGCTCACCTCGTCGAGCTCCTCGTCGCCGCAGATGATCATGGCCTTCTTGGAGCCGCCGATGCGCAGGGCCTCGAGGAAGACGGGGCCGAGCTCCTTGCGGGCGACGCCGATGACGCGGGCCTCGAGGATGTCCTCGACGGGGTTGGCGAGGGGGCCGAGGAGGTTGAAGATTGTCCTCCAGGGCAGCTCCTTGCGGATGGGGGCGACGTAGCGCATGCCCGGGTGGAAGACGGGGGCGAAGAGGAAGCCGTAGTTTGTGGCGGCGTAGACCTGGGAGATTGTCTTTGGGGAGACGGCCATGAGGACGGGGGGCCGGGGCTGCATGTTGTTGACGAGGTCTGCGGAGCCGGACTTTGAGGTGCTGGCGCGGTTGCCGTGCTTGGCGACGAGGAGCAGGGAGGAGGCGAGGATGCTGGCGGTGGTGCTGATGTTGAAGGTGTTGTGGGAGTCGCCGCCGGTGCCGACGATGTCGCAGAGGCCGCCGGCGTAGGCGCCCTCGGCGAGGTTCTTTTTGCGGACGACGGCGGCGAGGTCGTCGAAATCGACCCTTGCGGCGGCGAGGCGCATGACGTGGGCGGAGCGGGCCATTACATCGGCGCGGCGGTCGAGATTGGTGAAGTGCAGGGAGATGAGGAGGGAGGCGGCCTGGGCGTCGGAGACCTGGTGGGTAAAGAAGTGGGAGATGGCATCGGCGATCTCATCCGGGGTGACGGCGAGGCCGCCGTCTGGGACGGGCCAGAGTTTCTTGAGGAGGGGCTTGATGTCGATGAGGGGGAGTGAGGCGTCGTCGGACCCCGCGACCGGAGGTTGAGCGGCCATTGCGGCGGGGATGATTGTGTGTGAGGCGTGTGGTGAGAGCTGGAGTGTTGGTTTGAGGGATCAATTGACTCTAGAAAGTGTTAAATCCGGGTTGATGTTGAGTCACTGCTGTTGTGAGTCAAAGGTGAGTGTGAGTGAGATTGGCTTGATAGATTGATCCATAGACGTGGCCGGGGGAGAGACTCACCGGTGCCGATGTCAGGTCGGCATGCAGCCGGTGCGGCCCACATCTGATTGGTCAATTATTACCAGATTGAGCTGTCACGGGGAGACATGATTGGCTGTGCAGGGTCACAACGTTGGAGCTGGTGTACCTGTGTAGAAAGTGGGTGTCGCCTGTTAGGGAATCTCCGCGCCCGCACTCTGCATTTGGCCCTTGGAACAATGGAAATCGCCGAATGCCATCTCTCGCCGTTGGAGGAGGGGCTTCAAAAGCAAGGGGACGGGAGGTGAGGTGGAGGAGGGGTTTCGTCCATTGTTCTCGCTCGTTTCCATTCTTCTCTGACGTTTGTGTGTCTTGTTCACGTCCAAGGCTTTGTTGGTTTCTCCAACTCTGTTTATCCCACAATGCGGCTGCACGTCCGAGGACGCCTACAGGGCGATTCGACTGGATGAATGCCACGCCACGTCTCGAGGACCGTCCGGAGCACACTGCCCTTTACGTCGCCGTCCACGCACCTGAACTAGGTAAGTAAGGTAGGTGGTGATGCGTAGCCAGAAGCGCTTTTCGACAACATGTGCCTTGCAGGCTTACTCACACCACCGAGGGCGACAAGGTGCTTACTTATTTAGGCGTTTGCCTTCTTTTCTCCCTGGCCGAAGAGGAGCAACTCTTCTGCTCCTAGGCTGGGCTGGGCTCTTGGTTGGAGTTTGACAAGGGGGTTCTCCAGTTCCAGGAACAGCTTGTTGCTTCTTCTGCTGCAAGACCACATTAACCAGAAGACCTGGACCAAGACAAAAGACGGCACGGACGCCGCGGGCCCGGCGCATGAGAGTCACTGGACACGCTGCAGGACGTGCTACCTTATGCTGAGGTGCCAATGCTGCATCCGTGTGCCTCGTGCCGGTGCTTATCACAGCTCAAGGTACCTTGCCTTGGTGTCTGCGCCCTCAGGTGCTGCTAGCACGATACCGTGGCTCACACTGCCCGCTACGCTGACCGAGGCAGGTCACTAAAAGTCGTTGCCTACCGCAGCGAACGGCGCCCTTTCCCCGTCCGCGTCTCAATCTCCGATCCATCCGTGCCACCGTGCCACCCACCAGGGCGCCTTCCACGCGCAGACCAGTCTCTGTTTGGCCTGGCGCCTTCCACTTCCACCGCGATGCTGCTGCTCCAAGTGTCTCCTGCCTCGGGACCTGCACTTGCACTTGCACTTGCACTTGCTCTTGCTCCTTCTGACCCGTTCCTGTGCCGGCGTTGCTCCTGCGCTCGGCGCCCTTTTGTCCTCGCCTCTTCCTCCCTCTCCCTCCCCCGGATTTGACCTCATTCCTTTTCCTCCCTGGATCATTCATGCTCGAGAGGAACTGCGACGGCCCCCGACGCGACAGCTGCAGTTACAAGACGCACGCAACTGGACGACACCCAGCGAGCAAGGACCCCCGAGGAAAAAAAGTCGATAACTGACAATGCCTCGTCGCTGCTAACACTGATCGCTCCCTTTAACCCCCTCACCACCACGTCCAGCTACTATTCTGTTCTCGTCTGTCGCTTCAATCTCCTCTTCGTCCCGCCGTCCAGCTTCTAGAAATACGAAATCCTTATTGAGACCGTCGATTCGTTCGAGCCCGTCCGAGAGAGAGTTCCGTCCGTACCGCGCCCCCTGTCCACAGTAGCATGTGAAGTGCGCTCCGCGGAGCCCGTCGAGATACCACCGCCATGGCGAACAACCAGAGCAGCCCCCAGACCGTACCCGAGTCCATTTCCGAGTCGTCCCAGTCCTACGGCAAGCCCGCATCGCGAGGGGGCCTGCCCGATGTCATCAAAGTCGACGGCGTCAAGTCCCTAGTCTTGGACTCGGAGAACCTCGTCTTAAATGGTGCGTTGATCTGTAGCTTCGTGATGCGCCTGAGACGCTGACTGCCCACAGACCCGACAGCAAAGAAAACCAGTCGTACGTGCAGTTTCGCCTCCTTCGGCGCACCAGGTAGGCACTCCTGCCCGAGCCGAATTGTCCGTCTGCCGTAGCTAACCCCCTCCCTCACAGCAGCACCACCGACGTCCACAATCCCCCTTTACAACGTCCTGTGGGTCGAACTCGCCGGCCAGACCCTCACTATCGATTACGCCAAATACGTTGGCAAGCACAGAGTGCAAGCTGCGCAGTGGATCTTTAACGTCGCCGATGCCGACACCCCCGACGTCAAGACATGGGCCGACAACCTCCTGACCAGAGCTTACGGGCCGGCGAAGCGATGCAAGAGGGCCAAGGTCCTGGTGAATCCTCACGCCGGTCCAGGAGGCGCGCAGAAGAAGTGGGATGTGGACTGTGAACCTTTGTTCAAGGCGGCGCGCATGCCAATCGATGTGGTCAAGACGGAACGGCAGGGTCAAGCTGTGGATATTGCGCAGGCCATCGATGTGGACGCCTTCGACACCATTGTTACATGCTCTGGGGACGGTCTGGCCCACGAGGTCTTCAACGGACTTGGCAGCCGCCCCGACGCCTTCCATGCTCTGCAGACGATCGCTGTCTCGCATATTCCTTGTGGCTCTGGCAATGCAATGAGCTGCAACCTCTATGGTACATACCGGCCCTCGTTGGCTGCGCTTGCCATCATTAAGGGGGTTGAAACGCCCTTTGATCTCGTCAGCATCACACAAGGGGACAGGCGGTTGCTGAGCTTCTTGAGCCAGGCCCTCGGCGTTGTGGCTGAGAGCGATCTGGGGACGGAGCACCTGCGATGGATGGGCGGCGCGCGCTTCACAGTTGGCTTTTTACAAAGGATCTTCCAGAAGAAGTGCTACCCTTGCGATCTTGCTGTGAAGGTCGAAATTGAGGACAAGCATGGAGTCAAGGAGCATTACAGGCAAAAGATGAGCAACGCATCGGCAACAAACTTGGGCGAGGGTCCCAACGCGGCACCTGTCGAATCAGGGTCGAGCCCAGATGCCCACCAAGGTTTGCCGCCGTTGCGGTATGGTACAATCAATGATGCCCTTCCGGAGGGCTGGGAGTCGATTTCCAGTGACACTATGGGCAACTTTTACTGTGGAAATGTAGGTCTACTTCCCAACCTAACAACATGCTGTTGCTAACACGACCTAGATGGCGTACATGGCAGCCGACGCCAACTTCTTTGCTGCAGCCTGCGCCAACGACGGCCTCATGGACCTTGTCTGTGTAGACGGCGATGTGTCGGTCGGCTCTCAGCTGAGCATGCTGTTGTCAGTGGAGAACGGCCAGTTCTTTGACAACCCCCTCGTTTCGTACAAGAAGATTACGGCCTACCGCATCACCCCGCGCAACCAGAAGGACGGTTACATCAGCATCGACGGCGAAAAGGTGCCTTTCGAGCCGTTCCAGGCAGAGATCCACCAAGGCCTCGGCAAGGTTATCTCGAAGCGTGGCGGTTACGAGGCAGCAGGTCCCACGAACTGGGACAAGATCACTATCGGTAACAGGATCATGGCGTAGGAAGCCACCTGCAAGAAGGCAGCCCTCTTCGTTGCACTAGGTGCTGTGGCACCGATTGATGTGACGGCGCGAGCCGTGGCTTGGGTCGCCCAGGCCGTTCGCAGACAATTGCACGCCTTCATCAATGGCATAGTGGCTTGTCTCACGTTTTCCAGTTACTTTTTCAAGATTACTTTTGACGGTCAGCAGTGGCTGAGGTAATAGCGGTAGGGAGCAGTGTTTTTCAAAAAGTCGAGATACCCAGATAGACCAAGATGGGAAGAAGCGTTACCGTCGCCACCGGGCCAAGACAGGCCCCGGCCGGCAATGCAGCCATTGGATATCAATGTATACTATAGAACAGCGTTGAGCAAATACAATTGCTTTTCTTTTCGGTCCCCATCACCCCTCTGAAGCAGTCCCAGATCAATACCAAGTGATTTTGCCGCCTTCCGTTCTAGACCCAAAAACGCCGTGTTCACCGTACAATGCAAAGACAAGATCCAAGTCATGCCGCAGCCTGCTCATTTGTCGTCAAAGCCACCCCACTCGCCGTCGTCCTCCTCTTCCGCAGCGTCCTTGTCCTCCTCCTCCTTGGACTCGACCCAAGGCAGCCTCTCGTCCTCCAGCGACTCGGCCGCCTTGACGCGGACAGTCTTGATGGGCGACCTCTTCAGCGGCTCGACGAGCTTGCTGACCCTCTTGGCGAACGCGACAGCCTTCTCGCTGGCGCCCTCCTTGATAATCTCCGTCCGCTCGAGCTCGTCGACCCAGATGTCCACGCCGTGCAGGCGCAGCCCGATGGACACCTTGCGCAGGTCGCCTTCGACCTCAAAGGGCCACTCGGCCAGCACGCCGGCGAGAGCGTCGGCGCGCCCCTCGGCGTAGTCGCCCTCCTTGACCCAGGTCAGGCCCGAGGCGAAGGTGCGGCGGACGAGGAGGAGGAACTTTTCCATGCGGAGGACGTCGATGTCGGTCCAGTTCTTGGACATTGTCTCGTAGAAGGCGGAAAGCCAGGTGGAGACGTCGGCGTTCTGCAGGCAGGCGGTCAGGGAGGCGAGCTGGGCGGCGAGGTTCTGTTGCGGGACGGCGCGGTCGCACATCCACATTGCGTAGAAGAGGCCCTTCCAGAGCTTGAGGGCGTCGATGCGGGTGAGGGAGCGGTGGGAGCCGAGGAAGGTTTGGAGTGAGGTCAGGGCCTGGGTTCGGAGTTTGCGGTCTGTTTGAGGGGGTAGTCTGGTCAGCTTGGGGTGTCTCTTCAATCGTGTCGGGCAGGCGAAGCTTTGCGACGGGAGGTGGACGAACCGCTGGAGGCGAGGTTTTTGATAAACGGCATGTTTTGTTCTTGGGATGCCATTATGAAGGGGGCTTGAGCATATCCTGCTCAATTGGACAGCGGTTGGGGTGGTTGAACGAGCGTTTGGAGGATCTTGGTGGACTTGTCTTTTTGCCGGGCTGTGATGAGGATGCTGGCTGAGGCGGGCGGGATGGGAAAATAAAATTGTTGTTCACCGAGAAAACTGCCCCGCCGACCTCGGTGTGGAGGTGCAGGGGTGCCAGATCGGGTCACCGCCTAAAAGTCTGGAGCGGTCGGGCTAAGGTAGGGAAGGTACATCGCCGTGTACCTCCAACCCTTGTCTCCTTCCTCCACTCCGGCTCCGGCTTGGCGTTCGTCCGCGACAACGTCCGACTTCATCCCACTTGATACTGAATCGAATTTTCAGGCGCATTGGAGTAGAACGGGACGAATGGGTACACCATATGTATTTCCCATCTGTCATTCAATCCAGACACTTTGGGCGCTCCTGCTTTTGCTGGGTCTTTGATCCGAGCTTTTGTCATCCTTCTTTTGTTCAACAGGAAGGAACGAAGGGCTTTTTCAAAGCAAAAAAAGGACTGTGAGCTGGCTTTGACCAAACATCATCAATATTCGCAAGTCTTGGGTGTCAGCGTGTCACTTGGGTAACAATGTGGCCAACAGCCAATTTCTAGAGTGACAGAAGCTTGCTGTTTGTATTCTTCACGTCGAGTCGTCAATCTCCACTGCCTATGTAGGAATGCAAAACCCCAACTCCAAGCCCAATTTACCACCTGTGACAACCCCAAACGCCCAGCCAGAAGGCTACTGAGATGATCCTCCACAGGCTAGTTCTTGATAAACTCGTTGGCCAGGCGGTTCTGGATGCGCTTGTAAGCTTCCTTGGAGGCGGCCAGCTGCTTCTTAAGGCCTTCCTGCTCCTTGACGAGTGTCGCAAGCTGGGCCTTGAGGACAGCGACGTCCTTGTCGTGAATGCGGTTGAGTTCGTAAATCTTGACCTCGTGTTGCGACTTGAGATCAATGACCTTGGAGTTCAAGACACGCTCACTTTGGGCCTTCGTCTCATCGGCCTTGGCTTGGAACTTGGCCTCAAGCTCCTTGGTGAGGGAGGCGCACGCTTCTCCGATCATTCTGTCAAGTTGGTCCTGGGACCACTGAGGGACGTCGATAAGTTCATAGTCGTCAAGTCTTTCCTGTTTTGCATCCATCTTGTGAGTGTTTGAACTGAATAAAATGGCGACAAAGGCAGATGACAGAGATGAAGGACAGGGACAAAAGGGCAGAGGGTGTGGGAACAAGAGATGGTACAGTACTCACGTTGGACTTGGGAGTGTTCTTGCCTGCAAAACGCATCTTGTTGATGTATGCGTGGACGAGAGTCTGCGCGCACAAGAGAGGTTTGATCGTCAGCAAGGTGATTCTGAACAGAAGCGCGAAAGGCAAGCGCGTGGGCAGAGAGAGGCAGCTTACTTGATTGGTGGTGTGGAATGTTTGAAGTGTCTTGGGCGTGTTGTGATTTGGATGTCAAAGTTTTGTTCGTGTTGTTGTGGGAAGAAGGAGATATTTTTTGGAGGTTGAGTATGTGGGAGGTGGGTTTTATAGCTGCGACCGTGGTGAATGGGACGAAGAATAGACGAGAGACGAGACAGCTGAGGAAGGAAGGACGAGAGAAGGGAAGGAGAGAAGGAGCGGGTGGGGCACCTGCCTCTTGCCCATGGGTGCGCTGCTGCTGGCCGCCTTGCTCCATCTCCAGATTCAAGCTACAGCTGTCTCACTGGCGAGCCAGCCAGCCGGGAGAGGGGCGATCTCAGCACGTCCAACGCCATCTAAGGTTGTTGCGGTTAATACCTCGCTGGCGTGGATTCCGGGTCGGTCGCGATGTCTTCGTCGTCACTCGTCTGACCTGCATGCCACCATCCACACCAGATCACTCAATGTCATCAGTGACGTGTGTCTTCAAACTCGTTCGATGTATGTACATAATCTAAGACTTCTCGGGCGAGTTAACATCGTCTTCAGCCCTTACACTGCGACAACGCCCATTTCCATGAGGGCTCTCTTGCCCAAGATCTTATCTCCAACCCGGATGCTTGTTTTGACCAACGCATCAGTTCCATCGCCAAAAGGAGTCAGAGTGAATCGCGCAGGGACATCGCAAGATGTACTGCTCCTCAGGTCGGCCTCATTGCCAGCGCGAACGACATCCTCTTTCACCCGGCATGACCAGGCGAGTACAGCATGCGACATCCTGGCGCTTCGAGCTCGCGTACGAAAGCTTGGGGACTGTAGTTTTGCGCGGCACTCTCGAAACAAATACACCAGGTCTTACATGGTCACATTATGTTCTACGATCCACGTTGAGACGGCTAGTCGATAGGTGCGATGCGTCACTTTCAAGTTGAAGATTTGTATCTTGAACCGAGACGGAGACACGCTGCATACAACACCAGGCTTGGCATTTCCACCATGCAATGCTCGTCATTCGCTGATATTGCTGCGTTACCAGGGACATACTCCATAAACCCCAACCACACGGCCGGCATTTTCGTCCTTCTCGCCCCTAATTACAGTAGCAACGCGTTTACCCCCATCAGACGGCTCCGCAGCACCTCTGTTCTTCAAAGAGGTGGGATCGCCAGTGAAGTTGGTAGCGCACAACCCCGGATCGGCACCGAGCAGAAGGAACCCGTCAGGCTTCAGGCGAGCAGCGTACATGGTCAAGAGCATATTGACTGCGGCCTTGCTGACTCGGTATTCCGTGCCGTGAGGGTTGTAATAAGGAGAAGAGGGGTCGGCGGCGTGAGTGATGGATCCCATGCTGGAGCTGACGAAGACAACACGCGGGGGCGTGTGGGCAGTCTTCCTAAGGAGAGGCAAGAACGCCTCAGTCACGCCTAGAGCCCCAACAACATTCGTGTCCAGCACTTTTCTAAAGGCGGCAGTGGTAGGCGGGCTGGCCATCGATATGATGCCAGCATTGTTGACGAGGATATCGAGACGCCCGTATTCGGACTCGACTTTGCTCGCCGCTGCGTTGATGGAGGTGTCGTCTGTTACATCTATCTGCACTGAAGAAGCGGTGCCTTTGACTCCAGGAGTAGACAGCAAATCCTTCGCGGCTTTGTCGCCCTTCGTCAAATCGCGACTTCCGAGAATCACGAGGTAATCGGCAGACGAGAGCAGCAAATTCTTAGCCGTCTCGTAGCCTACACCTTGGTTCCCGCCTTCAAATTGTCCTCGTGTCAGTGACTGGTTTCATGTATTCATGACAGGGACTTACCGGTGATAAAAACGAGCTTCTTGTCTGCTGCAGCCATGGTGGTTGCGGTGGTACTGATGAAGTGGATGGGAAACAGACGAGGCTTGCGATTCGATGTGGAGCAGAAGGCGATGGCTTGTTAAGCTGAATTCTTTTTTGAAATGGCTCGTATGAGCAAAAGATGCTCCAAATATCAACAGGAAGGCGCCGGAGCGGCACCGGTACTAACCCGCAGCTGTGCGGCACGGTCCGGAGTTAATGATAGTGAAGTCCGGTTCCACCGGCGACGCCTCCTTTCATTATATCCGTCCTGCTCGTTCCTGTAATCATTCAGGAAACATGTAGATTGATGACTGAGCCAAATCGATATCTCTCATGAAATATCGCAAAGACAGCACTCGATACTAGGTGCCGCGGATGAGCATGTATGCGGCGCTGCTGCCACTTGGCGGATGGCCTCTGAAGATGATACTTCTGCTGTTGCAAACCTCCAAAGGTTGTTTTCAAGTGAAATCTCTGTTCTTCTGTCATCGAGTCGATGATCATGCGACTTCTCTCGGCTGGCCAGCCTGTGGCATCTGTTTGCAACAAGTCATGTTCATGTCTTCGAATGTTACAAAAGACCTCACAGACAAGTCCTTGTGAACGTCATTGCTGGGAAGCCCTCTGCCAACGTCTGACTGGGGCCGCACCGATGATTAGAAGAATGTTTGCGTAGGATATATGTAGTTGAATTACTATCACTAATTATGGTTCATTGATATATCCTTTGGGGAAGCAGCCAAATAAGCAGACTTTGGTGTGTTACTCTGGCACCGTCCTGAACAAGCCAAATACGTTGCCAGAAGGCTATCCTTCAGAAAGGTTGTCTTATGCGACGCATATGATGGGCGAAGTGGTTTAAAAACCTGTGATCATCGCACTTTGGCATGAGTTTAGATGTTGCGCCCCACTACATATCTAACACGCAGACGCGCTAGTCAAAGTGACCAAATCCTAAGTCGTCGTCATCGTCACTATAACAGTCTGACAGCGCAAGTCTCAGCTGCCGAATGTCGGATTTAAGAAACTCGACATACTGCTTGTGTTTCTTCTCAAGATCGCTCGCGGCAGCATTGCTTTTGTTTCTTTGGGTTTCAAGCTCATTTCTCAGCTTCGTAGAAGTCGAACGCTCCTCCTCAAGCTCACGTCTCAGCTCCGCAGCATCTGAACGCTCCTTGATGAGCTTGCCCTTGCTTTCGGCCAGCTTAGCATTGATGATGCTGTGGATGAGCTTCTGGGAATCCTCGCTCTCCTTTTTGTGTTGGTCGAGAGATCTTTGAGCATTGTATTGGAATTTCTTGAGCTCTTCGGCGCGCTTGGCGGCTGCGTCTTCGATGCACTTGGCGATTCCGGCTTGGTGCTCTTTCCGCAGCACGGCAATTTCTTGATTCTTCTGGGCCAACGCATCGGTGTGGATTTTCATGTACTTGGCGCATACAGCTTCCTTTTGTTGCTTCTGCGCAGCAATCTCTTCGTCCTTCTTGGCGATTTCTTCGGTCTTCTTAGCAATTTCGTCCTTCTTGTCGGTAATTTCTTGGTTCTTCTCAATGAGTTCGTCGTTTTGATCGGCAATTACTTCGTCTCTCCGAATGATATCTTCGTGCATCCTGTCAATTTCGTCGTTCTTGTTGGCAATCTCTTCGTCCTTCTCAGCAATCTCCTCGTCCTTCTTAGCGATTTCGTCGGTCTTCTCAAACATTTCGTCATATATCTCATTAATTTCCTCATCCATCTCAGCGATCTCGTCGTTCTTATGGGCAATTTCGTCGTTCTTCTCAGCGATTTTGTCGTTCTTCTTAGCGATTTCTTCGTCTTTCTCAGCGATCTCTTCGTCTTTCTCAGCAATCAAAGCGTCTACTTTGGCGCACTCGTCGTCGTATTGTTGCTCGAGCGCGGCCATTTCTTTGTCCTTCTCAGTGATTTCTTCATCTTTCTCGGAAATCAAGGCGTCTAATTCGGCGCACTCCTCGTCGTGTTGTTGCTCGAGCGCGGCGAATTCTTTGTTCTTCTGAGCCATCTTAAGGGCGTGGATTTCCTTATATTTGTCGACCACAGCTTCCTGCGCTTCTTTCAGCGCGGCAATCTCTTCGTTCTCCTCGGAAACCTTGGCCAGTTCGATCTCGATGCACTCGGCCTCGTGTCGTCGCTTCAGCGCGGCGATTTCTTGGTCCTTGGCGGCAATCTTGGCCGCAAGCTGGGCCTCGGTGTACTTGGGTACATCGACGATTTCGAAGTCGCCGAAGGTCTCCATCTTGTTCATCTGTGACAAACATTCAGCATGATTTACTTTGAGGCCGAGAGAAATGACAGATTGTGGAGAGCACACGAAATTCAGGATGAGAAGTTCTTTGAGACACCTTCAACTTACAGCTTTGTCTGTGAAAACTTTCTTTCAATCTCGTTTCGGGTATCCGTACGCTGGGGCGGGACGATCTAATTACGAGATTCGTTAGCAAGGTTTTCTGCAAAGAAGATAATTCAAGCTCTAGGCGTATTGCCGTGTGGGATCTGTTGTCCTCATATCAAAAAAGCGTTTAGACGGCACTTACGGAAGGAGAAAGCAGGGAAATGTAATTGCGATACTGTGATGGGGATGTGCAGAGGAGAAGAAAAAGAAAGGCGTCTGTGTAAAAATTCGCATCGTTTTATAGAACCTTTGACGTGGTTGCAAAGGTGGCTTATCAAAGTTCACCATGGATGGAGCGAACGTTGAAAGGTTCCAGACTTCCAAGGTTGGGTTTGAAGCAGACATGGATGGGCTTTGGTGCCCGCTGCTGACAGCGACACGGGACCAAGAATACTATATTAGGATGACATCTATCAAAGCAAAAGGCCTCTGGGATTTATTCCAAGAGGTATCTGGAAGGCGAGAGTGCCAGCCGAACCCAGCAAGGTCGTCATTGGGAGGCGGAATGGATGGAAAACAAGTGCCTCATAAACATGCAAAAACTTGAAAACGGATGAGTATTGGAAGGTCCTTCCTCTGATGTATTCCTATGAAGTGCGACTGCCACTTGTTGCCAACAGAGAAGGTTGTTCAGACCACAACCGGCCTTCCATGGGTGACATTGTCGATACCATAGCATTGCCAATCACCCATCTCCTACTTCTGCTTCTTGTTCTGCTCAGCCATCAAGTCGGCCACGGCCGCCATCTGAGTGTCGCAAAGCTCCCAGGCACGGTTAATCTCGGCCTTGGCGACGACCTGCTGCTCCACTAACTGCTTGTGGAAGTTGTCATTGAGCTCGGCAATCTGTTGCTGATGGGCAATCTCTTGGGCGACCATCTGAGCACACTGACGGTCGAGCAAGTCGCGCAGATGAGCGATGACGCGGGCAGCTACCTCTGACTGAGGACGGGGGTGGCCCTGCGGATCAGTCAGCTATTGGCCGGTTCAGTGAAAAAGAAGAATACTGACATTCTGAGCCATGCGGAGATTTACAGCGACAAACGCTTCCTAAGCATAGTCTTCCATGGTCTTCTCCCTGCCTCGGGCAGCAGGTCCCTTGTTCTCGGAGCCATTGATCTGGGTCATGGTGCTGTTCTGCGCGTCAGCAATGGATGATGAACACCATATGGGACTGCGCATTGTCCTGGTGGAAGAAAAACGACCAGATGAAAGTTTGCACATACCTGACGACAGTGAAGTTGGCAATGGCAATATTCTCTAGTGACGACTGGGAGTGAGGCAGGTGACAGTAGGACCAGATGAAGTTGGTTTTTGGGATCCTGGTGGTGGCTTAAAACTGAGATGGGAGGAAGGCGGCAAGGAAAAACAATGAGACGGCAGACAAGTCAACTGTCTTTGGTCTAAACTTGTGATGGAGGTGAACGCGCTCCTTTGAGAGGAGGAAATCAGTGTGACTTCTCTCTTGCGTGGTCCCACTTGGCATTTCACTTTCAGCATCTCTCACGCGTCTTGAGTATATCACAGAGCTTTGTTTACTTTACCCTGCTTACGTCATAGGCACTGGACTTTTGCTTGAGATATTCAACTTCTAGCTCCTTCTGCTTGGGTACCAGGCTGCGACCTTTATGTGGTGGACCAACCTCGTTTTGTTCTGCCCTTGGACTGCCACCACCCTCTCCCTCCATCTCCACCTTTGTCTTCTGCCCTCTGAGCAAAGTTGCACACAACAAGTAAATTCCTCGCACCAGAAGCTGACGTCCAGTCAAAAAAGTTCCTTCCTTTGACCAATTGTTTGAGTTCCTCAACCGCGCTATCACAGATTTCAAGTCCCTTGAGTCTTGGCCAAGCACCACGCATCCGTTGGCTTTGGAAGTCATGATCTGAGCTACCGAACCCCAGAAAGACGACCCCAGACGATAAGTTCATAATGCAGGAAGATCAAGTTAACCAGTCTGAGTTCTCAGGCTTTGGTCGCCTGGATAGCCAGGCTGGCTACTGTCGTCGTGATCGGCTTCAGTCGACCAGCCCTGAGGTACGTCTTCGCCACACCCTGCTGGGACTTTTGCCCCTGCCGTCTCGAAACCAGGAGATAGAAATATCTCGCTGCGAAATATTAAGCTGACTTTCGTTTTCTTTCGCACAGGGCCACTTCACCAACACCAGCAGTGACACTTGCCAGGAGCTTCGCGGCCCTACCGTGGGCCTCGCCGATATGCTAGCGGAGATAAATCAGGAGCGACTCGAGTTCGGCAAGGAGCCGCTTGATGACCAGCAGGAGATTCTCGCCATCAAAGTCTTCCAAAGAGCCCAGAGACTCCCAAAGAGCAGCTCCACCGTCATCCATGAGAACACCAACGTTAGCCAACACGTCGGCACCGCCATCAAGGACTTTCTTGACCAGCAGAAGCACAGAGAGGAGGTCCATGAGCTGAGGGAGAAGCGCCACGAGGAGCGGGAGAAGCGTCATGAAGAGAGAGAGAAGCGCCACGAAGAGCGAGAGAAGCGTCGCGAGGAGAGAGCGGAATGGCTGGAGTTTGAACATGACGATGAGTATGATCTCGTGAAGCTGCGCCTCGACGATCTCGAAAAGCGCGTTGATCACCTAGATCGGGTCATTTGGCTCTTCGCGGTTATGGCCGGTCTTATTGTTATCATCGACATGGCCTTTACCATTGCGATCAAGGACGTCCGCCGCCGCGAGTAGGCACCTTTGCAACGTGTATCTGGACAACACCAAAGCTACGTGTCGAGATCGAGGGGAGAAGCCAGAGATATCATCAAGTTTATGCAAGTTTATGATATGATGGTCCACCGTGAAAAAGTCGTTTGACGCTATGTTGGTAAAAATCCAGATCGGCCGCTCCTTCCTTAAACGAGGCCAAGTCTGCTTTCATGGAGGCACTTTGACTTGTTCACCTCAAGCAATGGATGACCGGGAGACCATAGAATGGTCGAGGCCGTTGGGTCGTCCAGGCAGAAGCTTTCTCACGTTAAAACCACCGCAATTACCCACCCACCTACCTACACACAATCGGTCCTCCATCTTCGCGTTGCCACGGCACCGCGTCGACTCCTACGGCCGCCTCAGGCCTCACCTTGAAGCTCCCAACCCCGTCTGGTCATGGCCACCGGTCTCCCTCTGACTTGCCCATCAACAACGAGCGCCTGGCTGACTGATAACCGATTTTCTTCTTCTTCTCTGAAAAACCCCACATCCATTCGCGAGGAATGGGCTGCGGAACGAGGCCATTCACTTCAACTTCCGTCGCCACTCTGCCCATTTTCTGCCCCTCGTTGCCCAAGATCCATGTAAGTCTGTCTTTCTCACTCTGTTCGGTTTTCAACAGCCGCAACGTCTTTTAGATGGATGGCGCCGTTGAAGATGTTTTTCTGCCTAAGCTGCTCCGCGACTTCCCTTCTCGCTTTCCATCCCAAATCCGCCCTCCCCATCCACACGCGCGCTTTCACCAGTGCGTTTCTCACCTGGATACGCGCCACGTCCCACGCGCGACACTCCTCTTCGAGGCGGCACCCAAAACAAAGCAAATCTCACCGTCTTCTCTCTTCTTCGCCCTCCTTGTTCTTCTCCTTCCATCTTCTCCCAAGCCGTCCAACCACTGCTAACCACCAAACGCGGTTGAAGGTTGAGGAAATTCAGCATCGCGAACCGTCACCACTTTGCGACTCAACGACAAATCCCTATCTATCGATTTGATCGCAGCCATCGACTTCGAGATGCCTTCGACTCCACCCAGCTTGATTCCTGGCCTCGGCCTCGGCAACCGCGCCGCTGATGAGGGTGACGCCCATCCCTCCCCCGACGATTCTGCCACCGAGGTAAGCCCGCATTTCACTTTGTTTGAGGACCCGATCTCGTTTTTCTTGTCCGTCTTCACGCTGGTCTGCCAGTCTTGCCCTGCTGGGCCCTAAGAAAGGGATGGTCGGGAGCCCGGAAAGGCTGAGGCATGCTTGGTCGCTGCAAACCACCCTACACTGGGCAGGGGCGCCAACCTTCAGTCTCAACGGTGCAAAGATCCCTGCCTCAATTCCCTTTGGGGATTTGGGTCGGTCCAGCAGGGTTAATGCCATACTCTGGACTGCCCCGATGGTGGTCACGGGCAACAGGTTCTGAGGCGATCCCCCAATCTCCTGTTTCGGGGGGTTCGCCGTGTTTTGTCTGAGTCACACCCGGCACAATCACTTCAATGTGTGTTTCTGGAGAAGTGTCTCTGCTCTAACCAAGCACGAGACGTGCTTCGGGAACGTCGAAGAGTCCAGCTCTTTGTGGAACAAACTTCAGAATGGCGCAAAGATGCAGGGCACAGCACCGAAGACGGGCATTTGAGGATCTCGAGAATGGTTTACCTGTAGGACCTTTGAAGAAAGGCTGCTGACGGGTCGAAGACACAGGACACGTCCAACATCATGGATATCAGCATTTCGGATGAATTCATCCATGCTGCTCTCCAACCTGAGGTCAGTTACAACTGTTTTGATGCTTGAAACTCATGTTCAAGTACTTACCGGATGCCAGGCCAACGATGAACATGGTATCGGGCCACTTGAAAGCGACCAAGACGGCGGCGACGACTTCAAAGCGAAGTGGAAGGCCAGAGTTCTACGAACCATTCTCGTTCAGGACCAGGAGGTCATCCAGAGACGTATCTTCAAGAAGGAGTTCGAGCAGGGAAAAAAGAGCCTCAGCAAGAAGTGGGGCGATCTCTCGGAGCTCGCCAACCTGGCCGACAAGCGCGCTCTCGAGGCCTTGACCGGCAACGCAGTCAATTCAGAGCGATCCGCAGTCAACGCTGACGCCATCGAAGCAATCCGCATGGTGCACACGACAATGCAGGAAGACCTCAGTGGCCTCCGCACACGTCAAGAATACGATCGCCAGCGAATCGATGACAAATTCGATCGGCTCGCCGCGTCCAATGCCCACGAGCTCAAAGCCCTGAAGAAGCATTTTGGCGACCAGCTTGTCAGACTCCAGGAGGTGGACAACGTTCTCCAGAGACGGCTCGAGGGTGTTATTGACCGCCAAGATCTCATGGAGAGCGTGTTGGCCGCGCTCCCTCAGAAGCACCACATGCTGTTCGGTGGCTTCGCCATGGTTGCCCTCATGTATATCCTGCTTCACCTCACTCGCGACTGATATGCTTGAGGGGTGAAGCTGGATGAAGATGTCGCTTGGAAGATCGGGTTCGGGCGAGAAACACTTTAGGTGTACACAGTACAATTCCGTTTGCAGAGACCGAGGCCGTAGTTTGACAAGTTTCTGATGGATATCGTACGTAGCATTGGAACCTAGGACGCGCCATAACAAACCTCTCCTGAAATTCAATCCGATTTATCGAGGATCGCAGTGCCTTCAGCCGACTGCCCCCTCGAAGTCTTCGAGCAGACCGTTATTGCCAATTTTCCCTTCGCTCCTGCCTTGCCCAAGGTATCTCTTCCCTTTCACAACCACAAGCGCAGAGGACGGCTTGACGTCATAACACTGGACGCAAAAGCGTTTGCCATTTCAGCTCACCTTCCTCGCTTTTACTTCAACTTCACCTGCAGCCCGAAATAGTGGTTGGCTGGGCTCAGTCTTTCGCGCCGCCCACATCTCACAACAAACACAGCACTCAACTTTCTTCTTCAGTGGCCCAGCCAAGGGAACCAGTTTCCTCCCAAACAAATAATCTTCTGATTTATTTGTTGTTTGGGCCAGAAAGAAATTCAGCACATTCAAACGCGATCATATCGCTGCCGACCAACAATTTACCAACAGTCGCATCAGCGCCAGGTAAGCCAGCAACCCGTAACACTCAGTTTGAACTCGGCTCACATGTTACTGGCACCACAGACATACCGAACCTCCACTCAGAATGGCATCTCGCCCGCAGAATGTCGTCTCTGTTCAGGGTGCTCCTGGTGTCCAAAACCGCAGGGAGGAGCAGACTCATGCCACCGAGAATACCCTAGAGTCGGCCATTGGATATGAAGTCTACGAGACTGAGATGTCGGCCCAGGAATTTGTGAGCTTGTATTGATGGTATTCTGGCGTTCTTGCTGACTGGCTGTGTGCTAGGCGCTGCTCAACGCCTTGCTTCAACGGGAGGCCGCTCAGTCCGCTGCATTCAACGCGACCAGTCACCCTCACGCGTACCTTGGACCCCAGCCGGATGTTGTCGATGCTTGGATGAATCAAATTGATCTCATCAGTTGTGAGCAAGCCATGGAGATTGCTGCTATAAACACCCTGGATGAGAATCTGAAGAGACTCGAGCGAGACCTCCGCAATTTGGAGGAGGGGATGAAGCAGTTGCAGCGTTGGTTCAGCTTAGAGCAGAGGATTCGGATTATCATGCAGACGATGTTCTTCGCTGCGTGGTTCACTGTGTTCGTCCTTGCTGCCTTTGCTGTAGGCCGCAAGCTCTAGTTATGGAACCCGCACTTTGTATGGGCTGTTTCTAGGTAGACATCACTTTGAATCATGAGATTGTGGTCTCCATTATTCATTTTGGCATGAGTGATTCTTTGTGCACTTCCTGGGGCCCCTCATGCTGATCTTGTGTCTTCCTTGAAAAGTCTGCTAATCGCTTCCATCACCCCAAATTTGGTTGCTCCTTCCGTTTGTGTCAACACAAATCAAAGAATGAAAGAAAACTTTTCACTTCGCTTCCAAGGCTTGGTTCCCTGAACTCAGCCCGACACCTTCTTCAACTCTAGCGACCTGACGCGTCTCCCTCTTCAGCCAAAACCCGTTTCCCCTCGAAAACCTTTCGGATTTCGTCTTTCCCCCAAAACCAACAACATCCGCAAACCATCGAAGCCTCGCACTGGGCTTGATGTGGCACACGATTTCGAGCTTCCCGCCATCCGACAACCTTCTCAGATTGCGACGAGGCATGTATCGCGGAACAGATTCTCTTCTTACGGGATTTTGATTTTTACTTGTCCTCCATTTCTCTGCTCGCTGGTTCGCGACGCGTCAATCAGCCGCGCTCCCGACTTCCCTCCGTCTCACCTTCCTCCTGTTCGTTCCAGCCCAGTTCCTGCTCCTGCTCCTGCCTTCTTACCACCCACCCACACCAATCTCAGCACTCAAAAACTTCACTCTTTTCTCACCTTCGGACTTTTGAGGTCCTTCGTTTTCAACTTGACCTTTTGTTTTCTTTTTCGTCTGCGTTTTTGTGCGTGGGATCTGGTCAATCTCAACCCTTCTCCCCTCGCCCTTCTCCCGACACCTACTTGCTTCTTCCACCTTTGCCTCTCTCAGTCTTTCCCACTCTTCATTCTTCCTACAACTTCCGCTACCCCATATCCAAAGTCTTCCATCCGCCGTACGCACCCCTCAGTCCCCTTCACATTGCTCATCCGAGCCCACTGACCTCTCGCAATAGCACGACAACATGGCTTCAACTGAAGTCAGACAGTGTAAGATGATCAAGGAGCCCGGCGATGATGTACCCGATGAGATCTTGGAGGAGATATTGGGCTGCGATTTCAGCTAGGTAAGCCCATTCCCAGCCTCGTTTTTCTTGCACTTCTTTCCACATTTCCTGCCTGTCCACCTTTGAGCCCTAAGACTCGATTGTCGTCGAGAGGTTTGGCCTGAGATACCGCTCTGGAGCATGCTCCATTGCCAGGACCATTTGGCTCGGTCAACCACTCAACTGTGAGTCGGGGCATCGTCCTTCAGAGACGCTCTCCTGTCAGACAATGGCGTCGGGATCCTCAGCCGCCACTGGCTCGGGATGGTTCATTTGTCTCGTTGCACCTTAAACCAGCTGAAGGTCATTCGCTATGCTCTCGTTCGGGGGGTGATCTTGTGGGGCGGTCTCGATCAAATCACTTCAATGTGTGTCTGGGATGTGTCCGGTGGTCATACCCACTCAGGGAACCAAGAACTCTGACAGGTGAGGGCCCTGGGTGAATTGGCTTCGCCGGCTCCCAAGGCTTCGAGATTCGTGCGCTTTATCGGGAACTGGAAGGCACGCGCGGCGACATCACGGATGCAGGGTGTGGCAAGATTTGCGTTTGAGAACTTCTAGTGTGACTTACCAGTAGGTTCCTCCTGCTGACTGGGTGAAGAAACAGATAGTCTCGACGCCAGAGAGCCGACCTCGCCTTGCGTCTCCCTCCGGCTTGGTGAGTACTCCTGTTTCTGTATTCTGCGTTGCTCAAAACTGACCAATTTCAAGGATTCCGGCTTAATTTCCCTATCGCCTGACCGTACCCTCGAAGGCAATGACGCTGTCGACGTCCAACACATGCATCAAGTTCAAAGATTCATGATCGACAAGCAACGGGGCCTCATAAGAGATGTCGAACATCACGGAAAGCAGATCAAGGAAATTGACGCAGGCTAGAGCCTTGCGAACAAGCGTGTTTTGATCAAATACTGGACACGTAGTTCGTCACTGAAATGATGCGCTGGAGGAATCCATAGTTCTTTTCAGTATTTTATCCACACCAGCTACTGGAACATTATCGATCGAGCGTTCAATCGTGCGTTGTTTTACAAGACGCTTCGCCAGTTGAAATAAACAGAGGTATCTTATTGAACATCATGCTAGGAAATACGTATCATCGCTCATTGCCCTTCCTCTGCTCGAACGACCGCGGTATTCCCGCCGCAGAATTTTATCCCTTCTTCTCGCTTGAGGCATCAGCACCCGACTCGCTGTCACGATCCCAGATCGCCGACTCCATGGACGGGTACACCAGGTCGGCGTCCTCCTCTCGCCACTCCTCCAAATCGACCAAGTTCCACTTCGCTCTCCAGAACCGGTTGCGGACCTTGTCCGACATGCCCACCATACGAATCTGCACACTCTTGCCGGAGTGCACGCGAATCTCGTCCTTCAATTCCTTCAGCGTCAGAATACCAGAGGTGTCGATGAAGGGCACCATCGTGAAGTCCCATACGACAACGGCAAGCGGTGTCTCTTTGAGACGGACCTGCTTCTGCGCGCGCAGCCTCTCGAGCCGCTTCTCCGCCGCCACGCTCCAATGCCTGTCACGGTCGTCCTGGCTGAGACTGCTTTCGACGCGGGGATACACCAGCTTGATCGCAGTGAGGGTCGTGTTCTTGGCGCGCTCGGCGTTGGGGAAGAACACGGCGTCGTTGAAGTCCACGACAATAGTGTCGCTGGGGATTGAGATGCCCGTGTTCTCGGTCTGGGTCCCCGTGGCGGGAGCGCTGCCGCGACGGGGGCCGCTGGCAGTGATGCGGGTGATGGGCTGCGGGATGGAAGTGGTGATTTCGTTGGAGCTGGAGTGGATGACGGGCTTGACGAATGTCGAACGCAGCATTGTCCACGCAACAGACCAGGCGACCGCGACACCGATGCCGATCTCGGCACTGACGAAGATGGTGACCCAGAAGGAAATCATGGAGGCGACGAAGTCGGCAAAGGAAATGCGCCAGAAGCGGTAGAAGAGGGACAGGGGGCCGAAAAGATGGACAACGGCCATGATCTGTAAAAGGGGGCTTTGTCAGTATTGCGGATGTCTGTGTTGGTCCGAGAAAAACTTACAATAATGGCAGACAGGGTCGTGGAAGGAAGCCAGTACAGAGCCGGGGAGAGGACATAAAGAGTCAGAAGGATGAAGCCAGCCGTGAACAGTCCGTTGAGGGGACTCTTGACACCGCATTCAGACGCGACGGCTGTACGGGACATGGCGCCACCGACGGGCATCGTGCTGAAGAAGCTGTTGGCGATGTTGACGACACCAAGATAGTTCAGCTCCTGGCTCTGGTCGATCTGGTAGTTGTTCTTCCTTCCGAAAGCCTTGCCAACGGCCAAGTGCTCGAGAGTGCTGGCCACAAGAGGCGCCACGGCTCTCGTCGCCACCTTCGCAACAAGACTTGACTCAGGCACGTGGGGTCTTGCGATACCGTGGGTGCTGACCTGGCTGACCTTCCAGGCGTAGTCAGCCTTGTCGCGGCCGCGGTTGACGAGGTAGCTGATGAGCGTGAAGATGACGAGCACGATGACGGCACGGGAGTTGGCGAGGAGCTTGATGGCAAAATGTCTCTTGCCCCATTTCTTGCCGACCTTCTCGAGACCGATGAGGATGACGAGAGTTCCGAGACCAACGCCACAGGTCGGTCCATCCCAGTCAGGAAGACGCTTCAAGACGTCGCCAATGACGTTGAAAACTCCTGACGGCACGTTGGACAGCCCAACGAGAGAGCCAACCTGACCAAAGGCGATGACAAGAGCTGCGGCTGAGATGAAGCCTGTGAGAACTGGGAAGGAGACGTAGTCGAGGAGGAAACCGAGGCCGAAGAGACCGATGATGAGGGAGTAGACTCCGACAAAGAGGGAGACGGATGTGGCAATCTTGGTGATGTCAAAGCCTTCTTCGCTAAGGTCGTGTACGATTTCCGCAGTCAGGAGACCCAGAATGGAGGTTGGACCGGTTGAGAGATCTGAAGATTTGGCAAAGTCAGAAAATCTCCCATGAAACACGCTGTCACGTCCGTTTGCTCTGAACTAACCTTTTGAAGTTCCCATAATCACCGCAAAGGCAGCTGGGAGCCAACTTGAGTACAGACCGTTGGCGATGGGAATGGTTGCAATCTTGGCATATGCAAGGGATTGCGGAATGAGCATCACACCGACGGTCAGACCGGCGATGAAGTCCGTGATGAGCCATTTGGGCTGGTATTTCGGCAGCCACTGGACGATTGGGACCTTTTCGAGGAGGTAGACGCCCGCGGCGGAAGGCAGCTTGGGTGCCCCTGAGACAACAAAGTCGCGGGCCCGGCTGATGCTGGCGTCCGTCACGAACTCGTCCTGGGCATGTTCGACCTTTCCTTTGATATTGAACATCTTGACAACAAGGTCTGCCAAAACGGGAGCAGAGAAGAAAAAAGAGAAGAAGGTGTCTGAGCTGTTTGCTTTGGTCGTTCGAGAACAGACAGGTTGGTTTCAAACAGTTGAGACGGTTATATCCTTCTCATAACAGATGATGGTGCAATCGTCGTCGGCCCTACTCCCGGCCTCTTCAACTCATGTTCTGACAATCCAGAGATAACAACAAGCCATCCAGCCCCGCTGTGATGCTGATGGAGGTGTTCTTTATGCTTGAGAATGCATTGCTATCTGATCCGCACATTGCAGCTGCCCGCTTGCGCAAGCCCTCCCGTTGCAACACAGACCACATGGAAACGCGACCTCAACCTGGGATGAAGTCGCCCGCGCTGCCGCACAGTGAACGCTCATGCAGACGTGAAGGAGGGTTGGGAGGTGAGGGGTCAGGGCCTTGGGAGGCGTGAGCCAAGCAATCCCAGATACAGCAGCAGAGCTACGACATACATCACGGAGGCTGGCTGTACAACCACCATCACCGTCGACTACATAGGAAACTGCCGTACCCTCCTTCGGACGACATTCGGGATCCCCTCACTTGCCGACGTGACCGGGT